AACTAGTGATTCAAGCCGATCGGTTGTAAATCAGTTCAATTTTTCAGAATAATTGCACACGGATGAATAATTTAAATGAATACATCAAAATTCAAAATTCAGAGGCAGGATTGAAATATTGAGTAGTAAAAACGTAACCGGTTTAGCTGTGGTAAAAATTCTACCGTCCGGTAACTTCGGTCAGTTGATAAATAAATTTCGTATGCCAGCTCTCGATAGCCATTGGCTTGTCTTGCTGTTGTCCTACCATCAAATGGTCGACACAAGCAGGATTAAAGGACAAATTGGCTTCTTCAACTAAGTTGATTATGTAAATCGACCATCGTAAGAATTTCTAAAGCTGGCGTTTCGAGCGTTATACCTTCGTCAGAGCGACTGATTGCAAGCAGGATCGACTTAGGTCAAAAGAAAGTGAAAGGACCGTCAGCCGGTCGTTTTAACTTCTGACTGAGCTCATGACATGGCGCACAAGATAGACAAGATACAGTACTTTTTCTTACCGTGAACTAACAAAGGTCTGAGATAAGACAATACCTGGTATACTTGCTATCTTTCACCTGAGGTATAAGGAGTTAACATATAAACCACGAACAAGCCTACATCACATATCGATCTCGGCTGATTTTTTCTCAGGACCACCAGCGTTCAGAAACATTCCTGCTCATCACCGAGCGTTCAATCATTTCCCTTGCAGAACAGACATTTTCAATGATCAGCTAACTCGAACTTCTCGGTATCTCGAAAAGTACACCGTTTCCCTAACGGTAATAATAATCAGTTGAGCAAAGAAGGATGTCTTTTCTTTCATTCGCTCTAACGAAGGGCTAACGCTCGAGATGTAAGCTTTGAAACCCTTTACGGTGGCCAAAGTACGTTATCATGAACTCAGTTGGTAATACCAAATTACCTTGCCTTTTCTTGGTTGAAAATCGCACACTCATTAAAAGGTACTTTGTATAATAACACAACTAACAAAACCACGAAACAAAAATGAAACTGGTCGCACTAGCTCTAAACGACAACTCAACGATGAAGGTTACAAGATCTTTCTACATATAAAGTCTGTGTGTCTTCGGAGATGTTCGGACTGCCGACAGGTTTACAAAAATATATCAACAGGGCAATGCTCAAAGTCTTTGTTTAATATGTCGCAGAGCTTCTTTGCGAGATTAAAGTTAAGTAAGCTCAGTTTACAAAAACTTGGCGTTTCTTCCAGGTTAAGTACTACGCTTTAGTCCTTCATTATCAGGATAGACTGAAGGCCCGGTGAATGGCGATCTTGGTGAGATGATCGGGTATTAGTTGCTCTTACTCGAACTAGAGTCCTAACTAACTTCTAAAATCAGGCAGTCGTGAGTTGGCCAGAATAAAGAAATTTGATTGATTTGCTATCAATTCGTGTTTACTCGCCACTGTCACGTATAAAACATGTGAGTGATCATGGCCGACAAGTAAATATTTGTCTTTCAAATCGGTACCTCAGGCAACGCTCAGCACTGCATGTGTGGCTTAAAACCATTGTTAAGAAGTTAAAAAAAATGTTTGTAGGGGTCTGTGAGTAGGTTTGGGCAGCCAACATCCAGTCGGCGTCACATGCCGCGAGGCCGGAAAGATATGGTTTGCGGGCGGTTAGCTCATGGTGACAGTTGTGTGATAGCCACATGGGATAATTTGAGATACACTCTTTTTTTTTCTTTCGAGAAAGAAGTAAAGGTAACTGCGGGCAAACTGTGGGAATGCATTCAACACCGAAGAGGAACGAAATACAACTGGGAAGTGATTGAGCGGAACACCAGCGAGCCGGCGTCAAAGGCCGAGAACTCTGGCCCTCAATTGAAAATCCAAATGTTTGATCGCACATATTACAGAAATCATAAAAAATAAACAGTATAGGATAATAACGTTATCTTGTAAATAAACGTATGAAATCCGTGGCTTATCATTAAACGGCCCTGATACAATAACATGCGTATTCATCTGAAAATGAAATTTCCACATTGAATCTTTGTCGTAATTAACACCAACCGACATTGCTCACACTCACACTTCAGAATATTCCAATTTGAGTTGCATTAAAAGTTGGACGTTTAAGGCTTCAAGCATTACAAAAGACTGAAGAGTAACCACTTACCTCTCTTATGCATGTATATATTTATCATATCATGACAAAAGGGGTCACAAATAATGCTCTTTAAACGTGCTGTTTCTTTTAAACTGACGGCTTATTGTTCCTACTGATCATTCATGGCTCACACGATCTCAGTGACCGGCCGACGAAATGTGATTAGGATTTTTAGACCTTCACATGAATAATTTCGTTATTCAACCGGCTAGACAGAATATCAAATATAAATCACACAACCTGTCTGAGTTGAGAGCTGAAGTGGGTGCCTTCTTTGTCTCTGCGAAGCTTTCTTGTTTCTGAATGCCTGGCCGCCGCCATATTGAATTTATTTTTCCCTTCAAACTGGTGGAGAAATGACGTATGCATGACAATGAGTTTCTGTTAAATGTTAGTTTTTATGGCGATAAACTTAGAGTTTTTTTAACAAAAAAATTAGACAGCTAATAAAGGAAACATTTTATATTGGCACAGTGCATTTCTCTTTACCGAGATATTTAATTTTCGGGCATAATCTTTCACACTCTTCTCCAGAAACAAAATGTGTCGGTCTCTATTTGTATCAACAATAACCCGGTAACTGCTTGCGTTTTGATTCAATGAATAAATCATAACCTATTTGCCACTAAACATTTCTTGATACTTAAAATGCATTACCTTCCTCGGATGTTTTCTTTTAGTACAAGTGCGCCAGGATAAAAACGTTCGATCTGAGGACTTGAACACTCAATTATGATTTTACGCGAGTTGCAACGTATTTCAGTAGTAAGCTAGTATGAATACAAGTGAGCTTGTATAAAACTCCTGGAAATAACAATGCCGCCTTCAGTCAGTTCTAAAAGGCCAAACCTTAATTTTGTCGCTTCAGTACATCGTAATCAGAAACTAAAATAAAAATATATGAGACAAATTGGTTCGCGTTACAGTCTCACAATCCCATTTGGTACTCGTCCCTGTCACCAATTGATGCAGACTTACCGTTATAGACCGTTACAGCAAGCAGCCGTGGTCCCTGAAAAAGGGAAAAAGCCTTCGGGGGGAAAAAAAAAGCAGGTAAAAAAATCGCTCTTCTCACGTTAGACAGGGTGTGGAATCATGAAAACAACATTAGGAAGTGCCCGAACAGCAGTTTCACTTTTATTTCCTAGCTTTCAATAGAAAATGATTCTGTATTTCCCCGAAAACGCTGTCTGAGAATTTGTCGATGGGAAAATTTGTCTTACTGACAACACGCGTTGGTAATGAAATAAGACTGTTCCTAGTATTCTTCAGTGAAAACTCATAGGTTATCTCCCAGAATGATTGCAATTCGAAGCTGTCTTGAATATCCATCCCAAAACATATGGCAACGTCAAAGGCTATTTTCGGCAGTTTGCGACCGGAAGTTGGAGGATATTTCTTGTTTCAACTGACTCTTGTCATTAACGAAATACTAATCAGCCTGAAAAGTGAAAGTGCAACTGAATCATTTATGACTGAAGTTAACGGACAAGCCCTATTTTTTACCATTTCAATTGCATCTGGTTTAAGACCAGTTGCAGCTTAAATCAAGCGGGTTTTTCTTGTTTTCTTCTCACAAAATACTCCCGGCCCTTGAGCACTGAGATTCATGAAACCCAAACACAAGATTTTGCTCGCACGCTAAACAGAAGGTGATAAGATGTCTTATAGGGGGCTGTAATCAGCTGGTAAACGGTTTTTAATAAAGCCCGTGGAAACGTGAGTTTTGCACTCGTTAATGTTGTCGATGGAAAACTATGTTTCATGACGTCATGTTAGAGACAAAACTGTCCATGGCCTGGATTGTACGAGTCGCTTCTCTGGCTAATCGTCCTCTCGTAAAATTATTTAAGGGCGTATTTCAAGCGTTGTGTTTATATTGGGAATTTCAGGGCCCACTTGTTCCAATATCCTCAGGACAAGTCGCTATCCAGCGGATAACTGTGAGGGACGGCAAAACGTACTGCGTTCTCCACTGGACAGAGATTTAATACCTTTATCCAACCTTAGAACAACCGGGGCGTTTATTATCTGCCTTTTCTACTCTCGATTTTGTCAGGAGCCCATTAGTTAAGTAATGGCTCCTGTTTTTGTTTAATATCATTCCTCTCATTTTGCAATTTTTTCCTATCTCGTCAACTTTACATTATGTGATTCCCTTCAAGATTAGCAGGATTTTGCTAGTCGCGGAAAACGACCCAAAATAACTTGTCGATTTATCCATAAATATTTTTCAGATAACAGGCCTAGAGATGAGCTTTTCGGTGTACACGTGTGTTCTGATGCGAGTTAAAGTTGCTTTGTGCGCAAAAATCTTAACCAACCGTAACATTTCACGCAACACTGCATATATGGCGTAATTTGGCCGTGGGCTACATACTGTGAGGTACTGCGCGATGTTGTTTCAAGGTTGACTGGATAAATTAAAAATTTAACGCGATGTCATGTAATCTATCTCAGTGTTATTGTGTTACACTGCCCTCACTTGCACTTGGATAATTTTCTTTCTTGAAATGCAGAAGCCATCTCGTCCTAACATCTATAAGTCGGGAACCCACGAATGTTTACAGGGACGGTTTCATTTTTTCAAAACTTTTGCAATTGCGTTTTTTTCTTAAATAGAACCAAGGGGTTTCCCCTGCTTTTTCAGGGGCAGCAACAATAGATCGCACTTTTCATCGGTTTACCGGCATAGTAAACCACGCAGGATGTTGGGAGAACACGAGAGAAGTTTGTAAACGACGAGACGGAGGCGAGTGATTTATAAACTTTGCAGGCGTTCTCCCACCATTCCAAGTGGATTATTACGCCCCGAAATTTGACAGTAGGTGTACTCTATGCATTTTATAAAATAACCTTTAATTTTCAGTCGGTTTACTGGTGCAATGAACGATAGGTTTTTGAACAATCAGGGCGCTCGCAGTATCTGTTATTTTAACGAAATATACATGTAATTTCTAGACATAATAGTTCCCTGTAGATCATAAATCTTTACTTTAAAACTTTATCGTTCTGACAAACTGTGAAGCACAGGCCCGAATAAAATCTTTGATTAAATGTGAATGTACTGAATCACTCGAGGAATTTTGCTAATTACGATAACAACGCAATTCCAAGAAAAAAACAAACAACACCAAGATATTTTGATTTATTTTCTGCGTTATGCAAAACTAATTTTAGTATGAAAGAGGTTAGTTTGGTTAAGAAAAAAATTACAAAAATGAAAATAATAACTAAAAAGGGAAAAGGAGAGCCAAGGATGGAAAGTATTGACACGAATTTAATTGACCAACTTGAAAACTAACGGCTAAATTTAATTTTCCCTGAGCATTGTTTACACTGATGAGAGCGTTTTTCAATTGAGTTTCGAAAAAAACAAAAACCAAAGTGATCGCAGTTACCAATCAGAACAAAGATTAAAACCATCATAACCATTGAAATTCAGAGTAAAAACAGGCAACCTGCTTGAAGCGTGGGAAAACGCGAGTGACCAAGGATTTGTTTTAATTTAGTATTTGATCACCGAGCGAAGTAAAGCAAAATCAAAGCAATTCAGGATCGCTTTCGATACTCAATTGAAAACCGGTCTAAACTTTTAAATAATCTTCATCCTGGTTCGACCCTTCACTCTTAATAACAAAAATTACGGCAACAAAGAACGATCTTCTGTTAAAATTTTAATAGCATTGATTAACTACGAATATTAATATTTATATTGATCATTGAATTTGCAAATTGTGCATTTGTGTAGCATTTCCGAATTGATCTTAACTTAATACGCCACCAAAATCATCCATGGAGATGTTCAGGATAATTCAAATTTTTGATGACAATCTCATATCACACCGACATAATTAGTTGTTGGGTCACATTTTTGCATTACTTTTGGCATTTAAGATGATTAAAAACACGACTGCCTTAATTCGTGCATAACCCTTGTTTGAAATAACGTGAACATCTTACAGCTCGATCTTGAGGATTCCAAAGAAACCTCCTTTTCGAAATTTCTATATTTTGCCCTAATTCAGGGTTTTTCCGTTCCGTCTTATCTTAATGACGAAATTAAGGAATTTTTACAAGTTTTCGCTTATATTTCGTACATGCGCTTCTTACAGACTCATATATTTCAAATTCTAACTAATTGTAACACAACTGTACCAAAAATTATCCAATATTCATGGATAGCTTCCCAGATAATTTTAATTCCCATCGATCTATACAGTCTTTTGCCTGATTAAACTCCAGCGTTGGAAATTAAATTTCCCCTCTCCCTTCTCACTGCACACCAGTTACGCAGACTATCCTACCATTTCGCAGACTTACAGCGAAAATCTTTAAACCAATACTGAGCTACCTTACGAAAAAACTGGGCGGGAAGAAAGCAATTAAACCATCCTTCCCATGCAACATTTACATGTAGTTGCATGAAATGTAAGGCATTAATTAAACATGGATTACAAATTATTCGATCGTGTACATGTATATCTAGAAAATTTTGCTTCCAAAAACTGCAAACAATTGGAACTCTACAGGCAAAGGACTGCCATATACATTATAATACACCAATAGAAATGAACTTTGTACGATTAACCTTACATTGTAATTTACTTCAGCTCTACGCATTCTAGAAATTCGTCTACAAGAATTAGAAATAATAGGCGTGGACTAATCCTTTATGTATAATACTAAAAAAAAATTATAACTAGTTTTGAGCTTTTCGAGACATCATTGATATTATCATTATCATAATTACGAATATTGAATGGCCAATTTCAACTTTAACTTTCAATGTTGAAAAATTGTCTGAAATCTTCTTTGAAATGCTGTTTGTCGTCCGAAAAACAATTTTGGAGAAGGCTTTGAGCCAGTATTTTTTTCGGTTATTTTCCTTTTTCTTTCATTCATTTTTATTTGGGGGTGATATTTTTTATAAAAATGTCCACAACTTAATCGGTAATAATAACCAATACCTATTCCTGGGTCATCAAAAAGTTTTCCTTAAATCAATAAAATGGCCAGTGACTCTTCCATTTCAATAGACACTCGTCCATAAATTTCAGTCAAAATCGGCTTGTTTTAACCTTTCCTGGGCTTTGTATAGAATGATTAATAAAAACTTTGATCCAAAAACACTCCACTCACTTTATGTATATCAAATTCAGGGAAAACAAGCAACTTCTATTTTGATTTACTAACAATGACACGGCATACTATTTTAATTTGCCACAAACTGTGATTGCTCAAAATTATTTTCTTCACTTTGGGCTACAACCATTATATGCTAAAAAAAAAGTTCATGGATTGTGGACATGATGTTCCTTGCAATAATCACGTCAGAAACATTTCTGATTCACAATTCGCCCTCCATAGTCAGCATATTCATCAATTGTGACATACATACTGTCTATAGTCGACAGGGCACCCAATATTGAGCCTCCAATCCAAGCGGAATACCTTCTATTGTCAGGCGCACGTACGGTTCGTACCTTGGGGTTGATTTTGCTGAGTTCGTGTTCGAGTCTTGGCACCAGTCCTCTCATTAGAGTCGTGCCGCCAGATAATACAACGTTTCGGCTCATAACACTTTGAAGCTCTGGAGAACATCTGGACAATAAGCAAATAATCATAGAACCTTTATTAAAACAATCCAGGATTCAAAATAAACCAAAGCTCACTTAAAAACATTTTTCTTCTAAAACTAACCAGTTGCAGATCTTGTGATCAAGCTTACGCTATAGGTAAAGGACTAAAGTTAAAGAAAATGTAACTTCTTTACCCTTTCACCCCAAATATCTCATTAGTAATTTTCCTTACTGTCTGCCATATAATTCTTGTGATTGTATTATGGAGAATTTGGTATTGAATCAACTAACAATCCCCTTATTGATATTTTTCTTTATTCTCACCACTTGTCTGCTTGATATTGTATTGATATTGTAAAGGGAATTTCTGTCTTGGTCGCTCATGGAAGTAAAAGGGTTAAAATCACTCAGCTTAGGCTTTGTTTACAATTCATTTACAGAAAAAAAAAAGATAAAGGAATTCATCTCACCTCCTGAATGCATTGTTGACCAGTTTGTGAATAGGGAACTGTGAGGCAACAGTGTCATCTGCTCCAAGAAGAGTTTCAGGAGTAAACAAAGGTTCAGCAGTGGTTATCATTTCACTGCTGATGTCTACAAACTGCCCATCTGGCAGCTTGTAGTGCTGAGTCAGTGCAGCACTTGTCTTGTACTGACGCAACTCACTGGGATAATCTGTAAAAATAAGCAAACAAACAAAAAAAAGACAAAGAAACTATAGTATATTGTATTGGGACAGGGAAACAAGGGGGTGAAAGGTCCAGTGAATAGAGTGTGAGGGGTGCAGGTGTTTGTGAGGGTAGGATGCAGGGGGGAGGGGCAAAACTGTGAGCATATGCTAATCTGTAGTCAGTTGTGTTTCATCATTAAATAAAGAGATGAAGTCAAGGATGCAGGAGGTGGAAGGTTGTTTATGAGAAGGGGGGAGCTGGGGTTACTATCAACAAACTTTCTTCCATCAAAAAGCAGTAATAAATAAACATTCCTTGTGTCATAATGCAAGAGAAGCAATGATACACTTCAGTAGACAAATTCAGACTTGAATCTTTGGCTCACTAAGTAGTAACAGAATACAAACTTTTCCATCTTTTTTTATTAAGTAGATAGCAGCTTGTTGTTTGTACCTAGATGACAATTGAAGTGATCTAAAATATCCCACACTCAAAACATACATTTATTATTTACAAAATTAAAAACTCACGAGTAAAACTCTTTGAAATTTTAAATATTACACCTATTTTAAGCTTACCTTGAGCCACATATGCCATTTTTTCCTTCATGTTATTCACAATCTGCCAGCCAGAAGAGGAATTGAAGTTGTGACCTTTGTTATCCCTTAGCAGTTTCTGGAGGTTGTCTGTGAGTGACTGGCCTCCAATGTCAAGTTCCTGGACAGTATGTGCCAGCAGACATCCCTCATAAATTGCTGCAGCTTGAGTGACAGAGAACCCAGAGGACAGGCACATGCCCACTGTCAAGCCAGAGGCGTACAGAGACAATACAAGTTGATTGGCAAGATACATGGCAGGAGCACTTAAGTGCTCAAATAAAATCTGCAATCCAAAATATGATACACAACTATACATCTGCAAGACTAGAGACCATCAAAGAGACAACCAGGAGTCAGCCTCACAATATGGTCTACACTCGTTAAAATTTGGCGGCTGGCATTTTAGAATTATTTACTTCCTTCTATCAAAAAATCTACTGTAAATTCACAAGAAATTATTTCATAATACTCTTAAAACCTTTATGCTTAATTTTTATTCAGGTTTATTATAACTTTTGCACATTAAGAAATCATTTTTACCTTGTATGGACCTTGTTATATCATGTGTCAATGTATTTCTTTTTTAGGGGAGGAGGGTGGGGTGGGAGCTTTGCTATTTGGATGACCTCAACTCGCACTCACTACCTAAGTTTTAATATTTGTATTGTGTTATAAATTGTATAGTGTTGTAAACTATGTTAAGTTAAATATTAAATTTGGCCTAGTTTGAAGTCTACTAAATTGTTTCATGTATTCCAATATTTGTGATCAGTAAGTTGATTGACTGAATCTGGCTATCAAAAACAACAACACTGAGATGGCTTAAAACCACTTTCTGACAAAGTAACCTAGTTACACAATTGATTTAATATTCCAGTCCTTATTCAAAAGAAAGTTCTATATTTCTCAGTTCAGTTCCTTTCCTTTCTTAACAGATAGAGATTTTGACAATCACTAATTGATGAGAATAGTGCTGAAAAACTTAACATTCCCAAGATCTCATTTATTTAGTAATTCTCCTTTTTTGATTATAAAATTCCTTTGATGTTAGTTCAGAGAGTTTGGTTTTGGATCACCTTATAATTCCTTAATTTATATTTTTCTATTTCCTCATTATTTGCATGTTTGATATTGTATTCAATTTGATATTGTTACACTGTGGGTGAAATTCTTTCTGGGAGTTAAACAGCTAAACCCCTACCATTTTCCTGCAAAGGATTTCTAGATAATTAAATTCATTTGGTGAAATTTTTCATCATATTGACAGAACTTCACTAGTGCAAGACATTGCCAATCAAGGTATCAATAGACACAGGAACATAGTCCTTGCATTGCATACACATATACAATGAAATCTCACCTCAGCCATTTTCTCTCTGTTCTTCCTTGGAGTATTGGCAACTTCAGTGACCAAAATTGGATTGCTTCCCTCCTCAATTCCAAGCTCACTGTACAACATGTATTCCCAGATATCTTCAATGTCAGACCAGTTTTCAATAAGTCCTGCTTTCATTGGGTACTCTTTGAATGAAATAAAAAAAATTTAAGTAATCATTCTTAAAGGCTGGAGAAAGAAAGATCACAATGGAAACTCCTTCATAAGTTTCATCACTGCTTTTCCCAGGATCAAATATATTTTTGAATAGTTTATTTAACAGTATATGTGATTAATATTCATTTATTTATTGGATTTTCTTCAGTGAGCCTCACATATAAAAATCAACCAAAATTTTTCAAGGAGTACAGAGCCTAGCATGTGTGAGATATTGCAGCCTAATGGTTTGTGCGCTGGACTCCTGGTCAATAGGTCTGGGTTTGAGGCTTAGCTGAGTAATTCTGGGTCATCTCACAAAAGGAGTATAAATGGGTAGCGGCCAATTGTTAGGGAAGGCTGAAGAAATGCTGGTGGGTAACCTTGCAATTGACTGGCAGGTAGGAGTAGTAATAGTCCTAGTCACCTCATTTATGGAAACTGAGATCAGCTCCAGCTGGATGGGCCACTTGGCTAACAGACTTTACCTTCCTAAATAAACTGGCATACTAGTATTCTGTCATTAACTTACCAAGTTGCATAACGCCAGCCTTCATAGCAGCAGCATCCCCAAATTGTCTGTCTTTTTTATTGTCCAGTCCAGCCATTTGCAATGAATATCTTTTAGGAATTCCATACAAAGCCGGTTGTACAACACTAGGTTTCTTTTCCCCAGCCATGCCGAGTTTAATGGTACCACAGCCATTGTCTATCACCACAGCATTGTTGTAATGTGATCCAGCTAAATGTAAATAATTGAATGAAGAATTTTTGACTCAATAAGACACTGGTCAACAGAACTCCTATTAAAGTCAAGCTCTTAAGTTCATGTAATTTTAAAAACTCTCAACCTTTTAACTCATGAGTGCTAAATTCAAGATAGTCAAGCAAATGCTTTCAAACAAAGAAGACATTTTTTTAAACTGAGCTTGCAGTAAAAAAACAAAGCAGTACTTTCAAGAGTGGTGTACCATTATTCACTGACTTACAAAACATAGAAGTTTGGTATGACATACATGGAAGGGTAGATGCTCTTGGTGGTATTTACATTTCCAAGAATTACCACACAAGAAAACATTTATTTAGGAACTAAAATTTGAACCAGGGATGAAAAAAAAACCTGGCATAAGTCAAAGTTTCCTTGCTACATTACTTATAATTATTTTTTTATCGTTAACAAATTTTTTAATCAATGCAATATTACTTGTAATTAAAGACTGCTTTTTGGCAAATAAAATAAATGAAATAAGTTGCCAACAGTTATCTAACCTGATTGTATCCTTGCTCTTGGAAGTGTTTTATGCTTTTTCTTCTTATCTTTAGGTTTACTCACACATAATCCATCTACAGTTGACTGTGGTACAAACAACTCTTCATCATCATCATCAGTGTCATCATCATCATCCTCATTGACATCATCAATGTCATCTTCAATTTCTAGTCTGTCATCATCACTTCTTCCATGCTTTGCTGCATTTGACCCCCCAACTGCTCCCAGTTTGGCATCCTCTGCGTGATCAATGACTTCATCTTCCGAAGAATCTATAAACTCTACATCTTCATCAGAAATAAGTTCGTCATCATTGGTAGGTGAGGTTGAATCTCCTGCACTTGGCAAAGATTTTTCACTTTCAACTGCCTCATCAAATTCCTCATCTCCTTCTAAGTCTAAAATCAAACTCCTTCTCCAGAAGTCACCATTATCACCACTTTTCTGCCCTGTTAATTCTGTTTGTAAATTATTGTGTTTAGAAGGCACAATATCATATCCTTCTGATTGGTCTACAATTTCAGTTTCCTTTTCTACTGGACCAACATCTTCAGGTGTACTTTGGCAGCTGTGCGACTCCACAACAGAGTGTTGAGAGAGATCAACATGACCATTTAATACTCTATTTTGGTGAGTAGCTTCACTATGTCCTTCTATAACTTTCACAGAAGCTTCGCTGACTGCATTCTGTAAAGCATTATCCACATATGACCCCACTTGAGATTCAAGCTCATTCTGAATCATTGGCATTGTTTCCTGGGCAATGCTGCTTTTTTGGTTCTCATGATCAGCAGCTTCATTTACAGCTGAAAAAATTAACTCCTTCACTGTCTCATTGACTTGAGATTCCAAAACATCTTGTGAGTATGGTTGTAACTCTGACTCCTGTAATGGTTCATTCTCTGGATGAGCCCTTACTCGCAAGGAAGCTTCATAGATTGCCCCATTCACCAGATTCTCCACTACACCACTGAAATGGGGTTGTAAGGAGCTTGATATGGCGACTTCTTGATAAGCAGCTTGACAAACTTCATCACCTGAACTGTCAGCATTGTGTGGAACTGGGTCCTCCAAGCCAGTAACCTGGGCAGTGTTTTTATTGTTCAAGTAATCCTCCATGTGTTCATCTTTCAGTAGAGCTGCCTCTTCAATGCCATCTGATAAAACTTCACTCACAACATCTTCACTGAAAATTCTGATTTCACCGAGTGATACCTTTTTCTTTCTCCCTTGCTCAAACTTCTGTTTTGCAGTGTAGATGAGTACACCCTCGCTAATAATTTGTTCACTCAAATCTTTGGCAAAACTCTCAACATCTTTAACCAAAGAAACCTTGCCAGTGGCACCTTGGAACAAAGAATTAATCACATCTCCCGCAAAACTGTGTATTTCCTGGACATTTTCTGCGTCAAATTCTTCTTTGCCAGAATCAGCTGATAACTGACCAATGGCATCATAAACTATCTGTGTGGAAATGTTTTCAGCCAAAACATTGGCTCTCAATTCCAGGTCGACGTCACTTAAGGCATTTGTCGCAGCTTTGGTAACCAACAATTCTGCGAAGTCACCGAATAAGCTGTTTTTGTTTAAATCTGTCTCGGAATAATTTGCTTCCACAGCGTCGACACATGGTTCAGAGTGCAATATTGGTTGCTCATTCTCAAACGCTGCAAAGTTATATTCCTCCGGAGCTGATGAAACCGTGCCCACAGAGGTCTTCGTAACGATGTTGGATATTTCACCCTGATTCTCACGAGAAAACTTCAATTCTTCAAAATGCTTGGTACTCCCTTCTAAAAATTCTGAAAAATATTCGTTTGCGTTCGAGTTCGATGTGTTATTCCCTCGACCTCGGATTTCCCCTCTCTCTGTGACAAAGTCCTCGGAGATATTAAACTCTTGTAGATTCAAGGCATCTTGACTGCGCAAAGAAGCATTGCATTTCACAGGTGCAAGAATTTGTTTCACTGTTAAATTGTCCCCTTCATCACTGTGGGCAGGTGCTTGTTTTGAACTCTCTAACGAATTGTTAGCATAAGGTATTTCGCATGATAACGTGCCTTCGTGAATTTGCCTTTGCGTGTCCGATCTGCCGCCTTGCGAGTCATTTCCAAGATCAACGCTATTCAACTTCTGGTCGGCTATCCTCGCTTGTGTTTCCTCGGTTTCATCGTCGCAGTATTTCGTCGAGGACACCGATTCCTCATTGGATTTCTGACTCACTTTCCTCTGATCGCCTTTTCTCCCGAAACCACACAAGACCAAAACGAAGTAGGCGGTACAAAAAATTAATCCGAAAAGCGTCCATGGAGAAAGGTAAAACATGATTACCTGGCTTGAATATCTTGTAATCCTTCAATTCAGTAAAATATGGCTGTAAAACCGTTTTAACCCTATCAACCCTTCCCCAAAATAACAGCGACCGCCATGTTATTTTCGTCCTCACAAAACATGACACGGCCTCATTTCTATGACAATCGACTCTGCACGTGCCGCGAAAATTGAAGTGGGAAAACAAACTTGTGTGGTTAAAATATTTTTTCCACGCAGTTGACGAAGTCGGCGTCCTTTTCGTAAAAAATGTTATACAATGTCGTGTGCTACTCACTTGGGACAAAAACGATCTGTCGTTGGCGAGTCGTGACAAGATTTAGTCATATGTCTCGCATGACATATCGCGCCTGTGGTGAAAGTTTCCACAATGTCGCATCGCAGGGGAATCAATCTAACTAATTGTTCAAGCTAAGAATTATTGAAATAGGGAATTTTGTGGGTACCTTTACAATAGAATTCTTCGGCAGCTTAACCCCTCTTACGGCCTTAAAAGGTTCGAAGTTTCTTGTGAAATGAAAACGCAATTTACAACGGATGTGATGTCACGCAATTCAGTTTCTCAAGGCAGCTGCTTGATTCCTTACTATTTTTATCACTAAATAAACTGACGTTAACGTGAGCCCTCGCTGGCTCAAATTGGACTCATATCTTTAGAATGGCCATTTTATCGACTCAGCGTGGATCAAAAACTTAAAAAATTGAGATAGAATCGGATGTGCGTAATTGCATAAGCCCCCGCCTACAAATAATTTGTAATGAAATTTGGTAACTTCACATTGTAAACATTTTATTTTCATAATGCGCGGTTACGTTGTGGATATCAGACTTCACTAACGTCTAGCGCATTGGAATTTTAACCGCAAAAAGAAATCTGGTTGTTTTACGTTTATTTTTGTCATGGGAGAGCCAAATGCTGATGTCACGTACTACTTTCAGGGGAGGGGTGATTGGTGAGACTGGTTACTAGTCTCGTCAGGAGTATGTTGACGCCTTGTAGTATTTGCCAGTTGTTCGCTTCAAATGTATCTGTGAATGTGTGGCCAATTTTTTTTTTCTAAAATGACCACTGTTAGACCTTTCAGATGCGAGGATATGTTTCATTTCAGCAATGTGTGAGTACGATGATATATTTTCGTTAACGTTGAAGTGTCTGATATCGGGTAAATGCGATGGGAATACCAGTTGAATATCAGAAGAGCACAGTGTATATTCAGTTCATTGACATTGCTTAGCCAAGTGAATGGCATAAAATGCAACTATGACCTGATGTCTTTTCAACAAATAGATTTCATACTTCCGTGCGTCCGTTCAGTAGTAGATCGTAGATGATATCAAAATGTGGTATGAACAAAATAGTGGTATAAGAGGCGCAGTTGTTTGTGTCACTGACGCTCTTGCCCCATTTTGACTTCTTCAGTCATTGATTACTGAACAGACCAAGGTATCTTGACCAAGCTGCAGAATTTGCAACAAAACTCTTCAAATTCTAATTTGCATTTAATTAACAACATTACAACATCTTTGTATGATTCCTACTTCTTTTAAAATCAAGGTCAAAATTTTGCAAGCCTGCACTTCACTTGTGACATGGTTTCTATGGTTATTTCTATGCTTTTCCTGGGTTTTTTTAACATAGCTTTAAGTTGACCCTTTGGGTAGGTTTGTGTCTTAGAATTGAATAACTCTCTCGAATTCTCCCCAGCCCCATCGTGTTAAGATGGAGTTATGTAAACATGGAAAAAAGTCCTCTATTGCTCTCATGGAAATTTTCTTAAAATTAACTCTACCATTTACTATTCATTACCCCAGGTAACATTATCCTTTGACAATGAGGTATTTTAATCTGCTGAAGTTAGAAAACTTTTTATATCATCCAACCAACACACCCTGATACCCTAACATGACATTGGCCTTGTCTTGGAATAATTCAGTCATGTGGTTGAAGAGCCAGTGGTAGAGCATTGTGTGATGATCTTGACAGCAATCAAATGGTGATGATGATGACTGAATGAAATGAGGGGAAAGTGAAAAAAATGAAATAATTATTTTGGAAAGTTAGCAAGACAGAAGGATAAATTTATTCTCCTTGCCCTCCAATTTGAATACATTCAAGAACATGTGATCAACTTAATTTGTGACTGTGTTTGTTTTCATTTCTTTTTCCAGGAACTTAGATCCCTTGACTGAAACTGTATCCTTAGATGTAATTTTCATTTCCAAAAGTTTAGAAGTATTAAACCAGTACCAACTTTGCCCATTTTGGAATAGAACCTCTGGAAAAATAAGAACAATGGATCTTATGATGTATTTGTACAAAAAAAATGAAGTAATTACAATTTAATATACAATAGTTTTTATTTATAGCAACATTTCCCAAATTTTTTTCTTAACATTACTGCAGTATGGACTAGCATTCTATCTTCAATATCTGGCACACTGGCCAGAGTATTTTCAAGTAACAGAATCACCTACAGGACAAATTATGGGTTACAGTAAGTGCTAAAATATTGAACTGTTTTTCTTTTCAATATGTACTTTTAATTCAGAATTATGATAATATTGAGACTCTGAATGACGCCTTGAACTAGTGTTGGATAGTGGCTTAAAGTCTGACCTATTATATTGAGAGGGATGAAAATTAACATTTGTGACTTTTTCATTTTAACATTATAAGTCTTCAATGTCACCAATTAAAATGAAAGTGAAGGCAAATAAGCACAGGCTATTTTGATTCAGGGTCTAGTTATCAGCATGTTGGACTCTGGTGGGGATGGGGCTGGGGATATTTCTCTAAAAGCTCCGGCAGCTGTCATGAACCACACTGTTTATAATGCACTTTCTACAAACCATTTGTAATTGCACCAATCTATAAGCATGCATTCAGGCAATTAAAGTAGAGGGCTTATGATTTCAACCTGCTGAGATGCTGTAGAAAGAAAAAACCATGATGCTATCTTGTGGCCCACAACATACAACTTTATCAATCTATTTTGATTTTACCATGAGACTAGAGGTACCATTTTTCAGGTGTAAATGGTAAGCATTCCAATACTATTTAAATTTCAGTTATGGGAAAAGCTGAAGGAAGTGTGCAACAAGAAGAATGGCATGGTCATGTGACAGCAGTAACCGTAGCCCCTGAGTATCGACGACTTGGACTAGCAGCAAAGCTGATTTCCAACTTGGAAGAGATCTCAGAAAAGTAAGGCACTGCATTTTTGAAAGAGTTAGAATTATTCACTGAATGGAAAGCCTGATAATGTATAACATGTGTAAGGCTATCTAGTGGATAAACTATAGATCACTATGCAGTAATTAGAGGCTAGCCAGAGATGACTTGTGCTTTACTTTACACCAAAATAATAGATTATTGATCTGTGTCAAAGGCTTATCCACCTGAAAAAAAAAGGACCTGCTGGTCATCTGTTTAAGACTGAATTCTAAAAAGTGACCTGGACTGATAAGTTACCTTAAATTAAATGTCCAGTCCTGATCAAAAAGCTGATCTTCAAGTAGGAGTTATCAGAGACACTGCATTGGACATAAAATTTCCAGAGGATTGTGTGGTTTGGGAACTCAAACACAAAAATACAGTTCTTGAGGTTTTCACTTCAACCCTTTGCACACTAAGATGAGAATACAAGTTCTCCATACTGATCTTTCTACATTTCCTATGATCCTTAAGTAGAGAATTAGTCAAACAATCAGGTACTTCTTGAGTTTGTGGTCATTTCCTTTATTCTCATGACCTTAATGTTTGATTCAGGGGTGAGAATGTTGGGAGAAATTAGATGTTTATCACTTGTAGGGGTTAAGAAATTTAATAAGAGGAGAGTAGTGTAAAGCAACACCTGAACATCCTTCAGGTATGGATAAGAAACAGCTGTGGATTTAGAAATGTTGTGGGATAGTTCTTTGATCTAGATGTCTAATGACCATGTTACATTGTGATAAGGTTGATATCATAGATACAATAATTTTTCTCTCAATTAATGCACTCAATTTATATATCTTGAACTTTTTTTTAGGAAAGATGCTTTTTTTGTGGACTTATTTGTGCGCATGAGTAACAATGTTGCTGTAGACATGTACAAGCAGCTAGGTTATGTGATTTATAGACGAGTCCTTGAGTACTATTCAGGAGATCCAGATGAAGATGCCTTTGGTAAGAATTCTATTTCTAATTTGAAATTTACTCTAAAGATGGTTTTGTCTTTCATGCAAGAAACTAAATCCTAGGAGTGAATAACTGAGTAATCTGATAACAGTTGGCATTTTATATGGCCATAAGTCATGTATTGAAATTGGTCAGCTAGACTGCAAATTCGCAGATGAAAAACAACTTTCTGTCAGGAGGTTAACCTCCATTGGAGAATGGAGTTGACAAAGCTGATGGTGAGTAATAAACTGATAAAATGGAATGACTCTACAATTGGACTAGGGCAGTGACTGCCAGGACAGGAAATGCTCTAAATCAAGGTCCTGCCCACTTAAGAATCTCAGAAACTGATTTGTATTTTTCAACTGTAACAAACAGACATCATCTCTCTTTGGCCCAGTTAAGTGTATTTGGTATGCAAGAATATCTTTGTTAGTTAGAGTTGTCAAGTTTATAAAGAAGGATTGCAAAACTCATCTGAAATTGGTGTGGTATTCCCAAGTCCCTGTGGCACACAACCAGTGTAGCATTCATACAGAAACTCCTCCCCCCTGGAGAACACAAGATAATTGAATGGTGTGATAGTCACTAATGGCATTTTTTCTCTATGGAATATAGACATGCGTAAAGCACTGTCACGTGACAAAGACCAGAAGTCCATTGTCCCACTAAAGGACCCTGTTAGACCTGAAGATATTGAATAAAACAAGGGACCAACTGCCAGCAGATAGGACTTAAGGTTTTGTAGAGGAATTGCTTGAACTCTTTCTCACACACCTTAGGGTTAGGGTTAGGGTTAGGGTTAGGGTTAAGGACATTTTAAGAAGTTTCTGAACACTTTCTCTTGTGACTTTTTGCTTTTTGCTACCCTATAACATTATTTATTGGTTAGGACAAATGTTCATCTTTTAAATTTGTAGCCTGCAGAACAGGCGTGATACCGGGGAGCTAGTAAATTATAACTGCCATCTTTTAATTTTGCTGTAGTGGAAGGCTGGTAGAAAGAGAGGAGAGGGATTGAGGGATGGTCAAAAGAAATGAGAGGGGAGGGGTAGGGCAATAGAAATCGTGTTTTTCGCTACCCTCTCCCATTGTCGTCCACTCTAACTCTAAATCATACATTGGCGGGCGGATTATCAATAGAGAGCTAGCAACGCGGGCTCGTCCTTATAAGATGCCTATTAACTCAAAAGCATCCTTTACTTAATCAATACACTCAATAAAAACAGGTGATAACAAATATCACGCCTTTTCATTCAAAGGTTTTGTTAATATAACAGCAAATTTTCCTTACTAATCTACCAGGAAGTGTGTAAATCTCGTAGGGAGAGTTAAAGCTAAGATGAAAAGAGTGAGGCTTAACTATCCTCTGACTTCTCAGAGTGACTAGCATCTAATTTCTCCTTACAATATCATCCCGGAATCACACATGTAGGTCACGAGAACAAAGGAAATGATCACCAACTAAAGAAGCCCTTGATTGTCAAACTCTCCTTGTTGGTACTGTCGGAAACGTAAGGAGAACAGTACGGAGAATATGCATACTGATGTAAGGGAGTAAAGGGTTAAAACTGAAGCAAATACTTCCAAGTCGCCACAACTCTCTCCTTTCATCTTGCCCTGTCAGCTTGTAGTTGGTCCGCGATAAATTTTTCCGTTGCCGTGTTTACTCGTATAAATTAAAAACGTCTTGTGAAAGTTTTTGTCCAGTAACGATGATAGATCTTCCAGTGTTGTATTTAATAAACTTATCTCACCGCTGTATTGACGTGTAGCTCTTGTTTTAGATGCTGTGGGGGTCAATACTCATGGGTCAAATAATTAATTATTCTTTTATTGAAACTTCATGCGCAGAACAAAACTTTTTCTCACCCCTGGCTTGGCGGGCTTTATTGTAGCGCTATTTTAGCCGAGGTTAAGAAAATTTATCAAGAGGGACAAGTTTTGGTCATCGGCACTCGCTTTTCTTTTGGAGTTGAAAAGACGAATATGTTTATACGCTTTCGATGCTTTCTTGAAAACCACACTCGATCTGGTCGTTCAAAATTTATACCCGTTTTCTGAACAAAACCACGGAAGCCGAAAAGGGAAAAGAATTTGTGAGCAATGAGCTACTCTGTCATCGATGTGGAAATTCGTCAAATAAAAGATCTGCCATTGAACATTAATTTGAAAGAGGATTTCGTTATGATACTATTGTTAAGTTTTTAGAAAAAGATGCGATGAAGGGCCTTCGATTTCACGTTCAATTATCTCCCAAACTCCGTGCTCTGAATAAACTTCATTTCTCTTTCTCAACCCAGAGTCACGCAACCTTCTCTTTAGAGTCCTTAAGTTCATAGAAATACCATGGTATTTTTCAAAAAACTGAACAATACATCGACGGCAGAATAGCTCATTGCTCACAAATTCTTTTCCAAATTTGTTGCAGAACATCGTGGTACCATTTAGTCCGGTCGCATAATGACTTCAAGTAGACCTAGTGCAACCTAGTACGACGCGATGTGCTGTATCGTGACAAAGTGCTGACTACCGGCACAAGCGTCACGTGACACAATATTTTTCTCGATTTGCGAAAATTTTCTGGATTTTGGAAAGATTCTTGGATTGTAAACTATTTTTCTATATAAAATCGAGATATCGATTCTAAATATTTTTTTCGATTTGACAAATTTTTCTTAAAGATATCGATTCTAAACATTTTTTCGGATTTGCAAACGATGCAAAAGTAATGATTGGAGAATCCATACGAGGGTAGTTTTATACCCAGACATTCCACGGCCAAGCGGTTGTACTACGTTTCAGTTACACGGCAGAATCTGAGGACGAGATTATTACGAGGGAATACCCACCCTACCCCTCCCCAAGATCTAGTCAAAGATCAATTCCCCCTGGTCGACGCCGAATTTGACCATTCCTCGCTTATGTTTTTCGGACTGAGTAAATCCGCTTCAACATCAGTTCTTTCCAGAGAATTTCTCGTACGTACTTTATCCGATTTTTCATTAAATCCGATTCAATCAACCTCTTTAGAAAATTAACTTAAAATTCCGTTAGAAAGATTGCAAGTTAATCCAATCTTTTCCCCCATGATATCCATCACTTGCACGGAAGAGCCTCTAGCTTTCAAAATTCGCTTCGCGCGACATGGAGATTGAAAATATGTATGTTTGACACAAAAATTTTCTCTATGAAATATGACACCGCTGGTCAGATTTCCGACTGATATCGCTAAGATTTCCCAGCTAACGCTTTTCTCATCAAAATTCCCCACAGATTACCCTAGAACTTTAAAAAACTATCCTCGTCATTGCCCCTTTCAAAAGGGTAGAAACATCTCGATTGTTGAAACACTTACGAGACACCCTTAACTCAAACATCGGTGGCGTGGAGATCACAAGTTTTCCCAGGCCGAAGGTCGATCTAACGAGTCTCGATATTTCACGATAAGCAAGGTCAATAATTATTTTATCAGTCACCCGTTTTTCTTCAGAAATCGGCTGGAAGCGAGCCACTTTCCTGCGTGGAGCGTGGAGATGGCATCGCGCACGACTAGACTATCATCAACCATGTGACCGATAAAGACGAGGATTCTGGGAACGAGCTGTCTCTCAGACCTCGTCGTTTATGTAGTGACGTCTTTGGTTTTTCCAATAGATAATAGTCGGTGTGCCAGTTCTTCGAAAAACGTGGCCACCCTGCTTCTGTCGTTCAAGAGGGCCACCACCGCACCCTACAAATTGAGCGACAGTCAGCACTACAAACGGAAAGAAGGAAAAGAATGATCGATGCCATCCTCCATCACATTTCACTCCCGCAATGTACAATCACGCATGCAGTTAAATTCGTCATTCTAAGAAACTTTTAAAATACTTCAAAATGATCCCCAACCTCCACTTGTTTCATTCAGACGCGACAAAAACATAAACTGCTTTTAGGTCAGAAGTTCATTGCAAACTAATGAATAAAGTTTCTAAAGAAATTGCGGTACTGCGTCGGTGGGAGAGTATAACAGGGTAAATTGGTGTTATCGACTAAGTTGACAACGTAATTTGGACACCGTAAAGTGTTTGAAAGCTGACGTTCCGAGCAAAATTCGCGAACTAAGTCAACTAATGATCAACCCGAACTTAAAAAGTCTGAACTAGTTTTTAATTAAGACAAACCTACCTCGCTTAAGTGATTGTTCCTTCGCATCGTGTGAATTTTTTCATCATGAAGGTTTTGTCGGCCAAAACTTTTCTTGACACGTGCAACTAATTACGTGTAGCCGTACAATCTCCCCTAAAGTGAAACGGGGGTGGGTGGGTACGGCTATACGTATCAACTCTCTTTGGTGTCATATTTTCGGGATTTGGCTGCAGCTTTGTTTACAGGTAATGTGCGATTGTATCAAGCCGGTAATTACTATATAAGAGTAGTAACCAGTATAAGTAGATTTTTGTTTCATAATCCGCACCTCCCTCTTACCCTTAACAACAGTTGTTTGAATATTGCCTTTATAGTCACTACTGTTATTGTACAAGCGATTGTAATGTTGGTTTGAACTGAACAAAGAGTACCATTTGTGTAGCCTGCGTGACGACGTTCTTTTTTGTTTGTTTATCAGTCCCCTCGCGACTTCGTAACTTGCTCAGGCTCTCCCCAACGAAACCACCAGCTACGAAAACTAGTTTGCGACCTCGCATGAAAAATCGCCTTTGAGTCCACAACAAATTCTAAAGGAAGCTCGAGTCATCGCTTCAATAGCGTCTATTTTTCCCTAAAGTTGGTGACAACCTGACAATTTTATTCGCCGATCGCAGCAGATTTGATGGCCAGTTAAAACGCTGATATCTGACATGCCAGATCAGCGATTTTATAGGTTGTAGCGAAAACGAAGACCCATAAAACCAAGACCGAAGACCCCTTCATGATCTTGAGACAGGAAGTGCGCGTCACGCTTTATGGCTTTACCGATGAAAAACAGTTAAAAGCTTGGCAACTTCTCTGCTCGCAACGTGATCATTCATCAGTTAAAAAAGAGCAGAATAGATATGGATTGGGCCATTCGGGACTATTTTTGGACCATTTTATTTTCACCATTTATTATTAGATAGGGGTGGCTAGGTATATTTCTTTTATTTTGTTGTCACGCTAATGCAAAACAGGCGTCGAAACACTGGCTGAAATGGTGGAGTAGGATATGAGATATCGCCAGAATAACAAATCATCCTCATTACAGCCATTAATTCATTACTTATGCCGTTCATTGTCTAGCGTGGTTAAGTTATAGGAAAAGATTGTGGCCGAGGCAAGTAGAAGCTGGATTCTAAAGTGCTTGTTGCGAAAAACGTCACCGAAGGGAAGGCGGATGGGGGGCCGAAAATTTCTTGAAACTTGCCGGTTCGGAAGAGAGAACTCCACCGGTCGGAAGGATGAATCGGTCATTTCACCACTTGTGTGGATTGGATCAATCTATGCGTGGGCTATGAGAAGAAAGAATTGCGCCATTAAACCATGAAATGCAAATCTATAATTTGAAAAGTTATCTGGCGCTGTAGCTATGCTGTTCTAAAGGTGTCGTCAATTTACATCGTCGATGATTTCGTTTCGTTTCGTTTCGCAAATTACATAATTGTAGAGCTTCTGAAAGGAAAATGTAATCAGCTTTTGTTTATTTTAAAATCAAAGTATGTGTGAAAGAGATACGAGTTCAAAAGTGTATCTTAAAAGCAAGAACTGTTTTTTAGAAGATTGCTTTGTACGAGTGTACTCAGAATGTCTTGAAAGCTGTAAACGTTGAACTTGTGAGGGCGTTTGTCAATCTAAGGACAAAAAATTCCATGATCTCTGTTGTCTGTCGTCCACTAATAAGATCGCTGACAAAAATTATTACTGAAATAAATTTTGTAATTATTTTCTTCACAAAGGGAAATGCTAAGCAACTGGTGGGTGATCCGCAATTTTTAGATAAAATGATAACCTTTAAGTAACATTTATCACTGGCACAAGTCGATCGAAATTAACTGTAGGTTCAAGTTGCGGCGATATAAATATTAACAATGTGTGGGAAATAAGTAAGGAACCCACACTGTCGCTTTTCTCTTCCAGATTTTAATTCTCTTTTTTAGATCCTCTTGCGTGCACAACAAATTATATCTCAGACTGACTGAAAAACCTTGATCAAACGTAAGCTGATTGGCTATAAAGATTTTCCAGACAAAATATAAACAAGCTCATTCATTAGAGCGGACCAGACCAGACTTGAGAGTAGACAGACATACGCTCGATTTCCGGCCAGACATTCCACAATCGTTACATCAACTTAGCTCCTATAAATACTAATTATCCTGCTTCCGACAAATGTTCAACAGCCCGCTTGTGTGTTTCGATGCCTGTTTCACATTTGCATGACACCAAAGTGAAGAAATATTCCTACCCAACCTTTCCCAAACATTTTGACTAAAAAAGGAATCAATGGAAAATAAATAATTTGAGCCTGCAAAATTTCCGTCAATCAAGAGCTTTAATTATACCACCACCTTCCCTCCCCCCCTCCACCACAGATAAAAATATACCTATTCACCCTTCTCTAAGAATTAATGCCAAAATATAGTTTAATAGTTCGAAGGTCCAGTCAATATTTACTCTGTGTTTCAGGGCCCAGTAGCGCTGGCCTGACAAAATTTGTTTGGCTCCACCGAAAGTCTCGACTAAAATTTGTTTCCGCCAAATTTTCAATTTGTCAATCGGGGAAGTGATGACAAACCACAAAATATTTGTAAAATACATCACATGGATGTACAAATTCGGCATAGAAAATCGCTAGGCATATCGGCAAAGGTTTGGAGTAACCACAAGTGAAAATCGAAATTAATAGCCGATGGAAATATATATATCGTTTCGATTTTCGTCGTAAATTGGATGAGTATAATAGGAAGACAAGCTTTTGGGATAAAATGTTTTCTATCTATTGAGAAATTTAATGGAAAATTAGCAATTATTAAAACATCGCCTCTGATTCTAGTTAAGAGCGCTCCGGTGATTTAACGTTGCTTTTGAAATTAATGCGGTTGTATGTTGCGGTTGCCAGGTCTGTTGATTGGTTGAAAATTGGACATCTGTCAAATAAAGATCAGAAGGATTGTTCTGTTAGAATCTTCTAAAACCTTATAGAGCTTAGAGCCCTCCCACTTATGTTACGTCATGTATAGTACGCAAGGTGAATAAATTTCACGTTGGGATACTGGAGCGCTCTTTTCTCTGGTTCTTACGAGTAAACGACATGGTCTCCAAGCTTAAAGTAACTATTATTTGGATTAGTGCTATCTGTGTAGGTGAGTGTTAGCGTTCGTTATTAATGGTGAGTGTTAGCGTTCGTTATTAATAGCGAGTACTGTATCTGTAATTCGATTATTTTCCCGTAATTTACCTGGCTTTCGGAATCCGTTTTATACGATGTACAATATGTCGAACTAGTGCTACGAAGAAGGGTAGTTTATAAGCTTGGGATTTACGTTTTGACAGTCGCTGTCCATAAACTCTAAGGAAGGCTTGAATTTGCCTCTCATCTTACTTGACCCACTGTTATCGATCGCTTGTACTCGACCGAGCGAAAAAATGTGTCAACGAGAACATCAAGGACATGCTTTTTACTGTCACATGACTGTGAGACGACCATTGAGACCCATCCCTATCCCACATGCGCAGTAAGTTTTCTTGCTATTCGCTCATAATTTCAATCATTATTTACCGCTGAACTCAATACTGCTGTTTGGCGGGTATTAATGGTATTTCTTGGGAGTTATATGAGTAATTTGTTCTTATTTTAACTGTGTTATCGATTAGTTGTTTTGTATTGATTGAAACTACCAAGTCACAAGGAATGAGTTGGGTTGAAGTATTTCCACACGGCTGCTTTTTTAGACTTATCAAAAAAACTGCAAATACTTTTTGTGTTAAGTGACCCGTAAGGGACCCTATTTTTCTCATGTTCACTTCTTTATCTGCGGTTCACATATAGATGATTTTCATATGTTCACAGTCTCAAGGTTTTTATTTACTTCCCAGGTGTGATGGGACAAGGTGCTGTCACGCCTGCAGCTGTTCAAAATTATACTGGTAAGTTCACAACTACATTTTTGTTTAAGATTTATCTCACTAGTACTGACTGGCTTACAGGCACAAATAAATGTCTAATGTCAAACTTAATTCTGTCCACTAATTTGCTTTAACCCTTCAACTCCCATTAGTGACCAAGACAGAATATCTCCTTACAATATCAATACATTATCAAGCAGACAAGTGATGTGAATTAAGAAAATATCATTTAGGGTATTCATAGTTGATCCAATACCAAAATTCTCCAAACTAACATCATAAGAATTGTGCGGCAGACAGTAGGAAAAATTACTAATTAGATCTTGGGAGTGAAAGGGTTAACTGTAAAACTACATATTCTATAGCTTTTTGCCCCTATCAGTCCTTCTGTGCATTTTCAAGGACTTAACTGTAGCCCACTACCAGACCACCTTTCAATCATGCTCGAGCTAGGCAGCAGCCATTACCATCGAAAGAAGGCCTTTATATGATTATACAGCTCATGTTTTTTTTTACCTAGAATTAAACTGAAAATGACTGTGGTATTAAAAGCATACCCTCTCCGCCACTTCTCTTTGGATATGCAGCTGATAGTGACTCATTCTCTTACAAGACAGTTTCTGGACTGTGTCTTGTATGTACCAAGGTTTAAATTGCCTTATTTGCTTCAAATGAATATGCTTTTGGGAGCATATTAATTTCCCAGGGTCTCATCTTGGGTTTCTTCTTAGAGAAGGGCAAGGGAGGTTACCAAAAACAAAAACTTTGTGGAGGCTGCCAGAATAAGTGAATACCTGAGATACAGTAGGCATCTTTTTGTTGAAGATCACTAATTTTTCCTTGATGTAAATATATTTGGTTAAAGCTTTGGGACAGGATACTGTTTTCTATACATTTATATTCACAAGGAGAATTTGTTTCACAATCAAGATCTTCTTTAGGTGGTGATCATTTCATTTATTCTTGTAGCCTTAATGAGTAATGCAGGGATGATATTCTCAGGAGAAATTAGATGCTAGTCACTCTTAGGGGTTAAAGGATTAAACATTTTGAACAGAAATAATAGGGTGCCAACATGCAAGCTTTAAGCTTTTTGCATGTGTTATTATAAACAGGAAATGGTGTGCAATGTTATGCTTGCAAACTACCTTAAAAAAGGATTACAGTGTTACATGTGGTCAATTAATTACAATGTCATGTACATTTTTGCACAGAAATGCTACTTAATACAAATCAGTTGTTTCATATGTTATATTTTGGGAAAGTGGGAGAATAGGGTGTGTTAAAGAGGGGGTGGATGGGGCTAATCAGACAGTTTATTTTTTAAATGCAGGGTGTGGGAGTTATTGAGTGAAGGATTGGATTTTTTCAATGCTGGGTAAATCAAGTAATTGTCAGAAAATAATTTTGATAATAAATTATTTGGTAAAACTTCAAAATTTTCTTCAACAGTGCCTGTAGGAGAAACGTGGTATAAACGAATCAACTTAACGGAGCCAGGGGCAGATTACATCTACCTCATAAAAGAGGATCAAAACTACAATCGTGTTATAAAACTCACCAGAGGGGAAGCTGGAAATGGCACCTGCTACAAGCAGGTACCTGGGTGCGAAAAATATTACGGTCTTCGCCACATCCGAGAAAATGTAGTAGAAATCTCAGTAAGGTTACTGTCAAAGTCAGTACAGGGTGTTTATGCACTGTACTACTACTGCAAGTGGACTGCCCACAACTGTAACAGAGATGGGCCTATTATGAAATTTTTGCTCATCATTGAAGGTAAAGTCAGATGGTTTACTTCTTTTGAAATAGTTCATTTGTTGTCAGAATATCCTGGTGGTCACTTAACCCTTTAGATCCCAAGATCTGATTGTTGATTCTCCCTTCTTGCTGCTACACAATTTCTTGTCAATTAGTTATGAGAATCTGGTGTTAGATCAAGATGACAACTTCAACCTGATGAGTTCAAGTATTCTCATTACATTTTTACTGGATATTGTATGGATATTATAGGGAGAGGTTACACATTAATCACCTCTAGGAGGTAAAGGGTTAATAGACCTTACTCTAGATTAGAGGCAATCATTGACCAGATAATCCCAACAATTGAGCAAGAATGAGCTATCTTAGCTTGTGATGGTCAAGTAGCTTAGCTTGTGTTTATTGTGTGCAGTGACCTGATGTAATTTGCTTTTGTACGTATATGGAAGAGATGAACCCCAAAGTTCTTCCATTCCTGTAATCTGCACTGAGAAAACCTTTCCATTTTCATAATTGTAGATGAGCAAACCACTCCACAAAGTGGAAAGGAAAACACAACTCCAAGTAGCCCCCCCCTTGGGGTTGTTACTGGATCTACAATTCAACAATCAGCTTGGTTAGGTAATGTTTATTTGAGCCAAATGCAAATCCTCAGCTTCTGCAGAAAAATATTTTGTTTTTAGGCAAATGTATGCTGTTTGAAATACAGTTTATGTTGTATTTATTAATTTTTACCATTAAAAACCAACAAAGTTTATGTTATTATGAATTTCATTAGCCCTTTGATTAACTTGCAAGACCTGCATTCTTCCTCTTATATGGCCAGTCCATACATTTTTCTGTAAATTAGTTGGAAAATTGTGTGGTGTTAATCATGATCATGTTAACACCCTTGTTCTACCTTGTCACACTATTCTCATCAGCTCAGTGTTTGCTTTAAAAATATTGTTCGAATTTGATTACTCATTGTGTTTACCATAATCTAATCACTTTCAAAAAGTTTAATCAACATAATTATTAATATAGGTACTTTTCTTTTTACTTTCAGCTAAGCTAACATCTTTGTTAATGGTTGTTGTGCCATACTGGGGTTTTTAACAGACAGCCTTAGATTGATACTCCAACTGATAGACTGATACTCACAACTGGATATTTAAGGTTGAAATTTATTTGGGTGGGGAATAACACCTCACAGCCATTTGGAGCCTGTCTGGGACATGGAAACAAAGCTGACCAAGAGTAACTTTCAATCTCTGGACTTCCTTTTCTTTCTCACTTTTGTATCTGTTTTTGCTATAAAACAATTCTGCAACTCTTCCTCTGTGTTTTGAATATTAAATTTTGTAGAAAAATTTAAAGGGAAGGGTTTAAATGCACCATTCAGTTTGCTCGGTTTGTGGAGTTTTTACGATCTCCAAGATTTTACAGGTGTTGTTTAAGAGTCTCTCTTTAACTAGTTACCAGAGCTTACAAAGTACAGTTACATGAATTAGCTTTATAGAAATATTTGAAAAGGTATTTTTTTCTTTTGGTTAAAATAAACGGTAACAAAAGTTGTAAATCAGCTGGTGCATGAAAGCTATCTTAGTAAGCTTTTAAAGATTAATGTGCTTGAACATGAGCTGGTGTTATAAGTAGAAATTTTTTGCTAGTGTTGATTTGAGAAGTGTTTTGAGTCTTTGGGCATAAGTAGAAGCATTTTTATTGGAAATAAACTTTTGCATAACTTTTAAGTAAAAAGGAGAGAAGTGTCAATCAATAGTGAATCCACTCTGGGTTAACATAACTATTGGAGGGAGGAGTGGTAAAGGCACAGTGATTTTAAAATCTAGCAAAGGGCTTGCCTGTAAGCTGACATTCGTCATTTTCTCCATTACTTTGGAGAGGTATCCCTGAAGGTGCAAGCTAGGAATTTGTAAAAGTATGCTGGTGACCATCAGTTATGTCATTCTATGTCAAAATGCTATATCAAATACCACATAGGGCTTTAGCAATTTCCTCTATTAAGGGGGTAGTATGTCACAAAGCTACCAAAAAAACCCTTGCAAAGCTTATATAGATTAATACCAAGTCTAAGCTGTTAGCAACTTTGTCAGGTTATTCTGATCTCACTGGGACAATAACAAAACACCAGTCATAAGGAAGGGGCAATTCTTCCATGTTGGACCTTCAAACTTGTGTGTGAGCAAACAAAAACTTTACAAGTACTTAATTGTACCTGACTGAAGTCTTTCTCCATCCTCTCTACTACCTTTCAAACCTCAGGTAATTCTAGAAACAGTGCATGTGATGACCTTGGAATAACACCTGTTTAAATTTTATGCAACACAATGCAAAGTGACCCGCTCAATAGCAAGAAACTCCAGTTAATGGTATTCTCAATGTTGAAAGTAAGAAGTAATCATGTTTGACAACATCTAGGGAATACAATGTGGCCTCATAATAACCTCGAAAACTAGCACATACTTTGCATGTGCCTCACTCCCAGAGTTCTGCATAGCATATATACATCAATATTTTTTTAACTGATTTTTTTTTTTACCCTTAATGCATTTTACTGAAAAAGGAAGGACTGCTTGTGGTCTAAGAGTCAAAAGGTCCCAATTATTTCGGCCATGGTTCAGTTATTGCTTTATTTTAAGGGGACACTCCTTCAAAAGAGCCTATCTCCTGGATAAGAAATGGATACCAGGGGATGGGGGATTCTGCATTGACTTAGGTCCTGTCCAGGAGGAGGGAGTAGTGATACTCCTAGTTCCTGTGTGGTATGGAACCCAATTTGAGGTTTGGTGTCTTATGGCCACTGAGCTCCAGCAATTGAAAGTACTGAAGTTATCTGTGCTCTAAGAGCACTGGACACCTTTTTGAGAAACAAGGGATTTTTTTATGATTGCACCGTGCATTGCAATCAGCACAAACTCCTGCACAAAATCCTTCACAAATGATCAAATATAATGTCCAATAAATGATTACAGCATGCTTACTGGGTGAGAATGCCTGTCAGTCAATCCCAAACAGTGCAGAAAGGAGAAATTTGAGTGCTGACTGTAAACTTTTGCACTGCACATTACACAAGCCCATAGATGAGGCAAGAGCATGCTTTGAAAGTGTTTCTAACTTTAACCTGTAGTTAAAATTCATATCACCAACAGAAAAGTTTGAATTAAGCATTGTCCACTGACTCCACTGTTGTATTGTTATCCTGGGAACAATTAAGTGAGCCAGATCTGTTTTAAAATGAAACTGAAATGGAACACCCTATGAAATTATCATCATGAGTAATAAGGAAAAGAAAAAGGATATTGATGATCCTAAACTGTGCAACGTAAAACTTTTTACAAACTGTATGATTGATGCTTCCTCAAAGCAAAGCCAAGGACCACATCTAACACAACTTCCCTGACGTTTCTATTGGCCAATAAAATTAAATTTTAAGCAGCCGGCAGTCTCCTCTTTCAACCTTAATCTAACTAATATAGTAATCAATGAAATCCCCTATAATAAAGCAACTGTATTGTGGTCTAAAAGATGAAAGAAAGTAGGAACTAATCAAATTAAAAGAAATTGAACATCAAGATCAAGATGAATGAAAAATGTAGTTACAGCTCACGGTAGTCCATGTGTCAAACTGGTGGTGTTATAATTTAAAATGTTCCTGACTTTTTATCATTTTAAAATTTTACTGACTCAGCATAAAGTTCAATGATATTTTTCCCCCCACAAATTTTCCCAATTGTAGAGGCAACAATGTGAAGAGAATATTTCTAAAGCCACTGTGATTATCATATAACTTTTATTATCAATATCGCGGTGTAAGGACTTCATTACACAAAATAATTTCCCCTTTTCATTTTATCTTACTCTTCCTTAAAAATAAACTATCCTTTGTAAAAAGTTTGAAAATATCTCTTTCAATTTAAGCAATTTTTTCATAGTTACCTTGCAACAATGGGAATTAACAATTGAGTATTTTACATGACAATAAATAATTAAAAGTAGTTCAATTATTCACCACTGACCATAATTAAATCATTCTGAAACTGTTACAGCATTTATTTGAATTATTACATCCATTTCAAAATCACTTGTGTTTGTTGAAATCTGATTGGCTCTCACTGGTGTTGCTAATTCACAAATTGCACCATTTTGTGCTCTAGATGGCATCTTTTTTCCCAGCCCATGGCAGACAGCTTTACTAAAGCACAGCGACCAATCAAATTTCAACCTTTGTTTAAAGAATCACTTGAATTGCAGGAAAATACAACTGGGTCACTAACACATCTGTACAGGCTAAAAAACTTGTTCTGAGTAACTGAATGTCCCAATTTCAAAATAGATGTAATAAAGTGGTTATTGAACTTAGTGCTGTTCAAATTGTGGTCTGAAATTATACTTGTGGTTTTAAATGAAAGTAACCCTTAGCTTTACCTAATAAATAATCAATATGGTGGTAAGGATGAGTCTACTCACTGATTATCAAGTCATTACTACAAATGACAATGGGTTGATCTGCTCTCAAAGTTTAAGTTAACTTTCATTTATGTAACATCTCTATAATTTATCATAATGATAATTCAACAAAATCCAAATTCAAAACCAGTTTGAATTTGAACAACTTTTAATTCCATGACAGGAATAAACAGTTACAAAAGTATCCATGTCACAAATTACAATTTGCAATGTGTTTTCTCCGACCTGCATTTCAGTGAGTCCTTGCCTTAAAACATATTTAACTCTATATCTAATTTCTCCCAATCAAAATTGCTAGCCCAGATCAAGTAGCAAAAAATCATGAAAATTTTGTTAAATAGTACCATATTTGGATTGAAATATTTCCCAAAATCAACCCTGAGATATGGAGCCTTGTCATTTTAACTTCACTTCTCTCCAATAACAAATTTAAACAAGAAGTTCCACCTTGACATGAGTTTAAAGAATTTGACAATCAACTGTCAAAATATATATATATTGCTCTGATGAAGGGCTAACACTCGAAATGTCAGCTTTTTTACCCTTCACGGTAGCTAATTTACATTTTCAACTCAGTTGTTAACATTAAGTTACCTGCTATACTCTCTATACTCTCTCTCTTTCTTAAGAAACTTACCCCTTTATTCATTTGTCAAAATATAAGCTGATGATGAACAAGCCCACAGTGCTAATTCAATGACATGCATGTACTTTCTAAAGCTAAAATTGCTTTGCAACACTTAACCAGTCAAACAAAATATTATTAACCCTTTGACCCCAAAGAGTGATTAGCATCTAATTTCTCCTTTCAATATTACCCCTGATCTGCAAGCACAGTTAACAATGTAAAGAGAACAGTACGGCGAATGTGCATTGTGATGTTCGGGTTTAAAGGGTTAACTTACTGTAGTTTCTAAAGATTTGAATCATATTCACAGGTTTACAGGATGGGGACTCTGCAATTTGCCATTAAATAAATAAATAGATAAATAAAATGGGGAAAAAATGAATGGGAAATTATTTAGCTTTTGACATTTGATGGTGGTGGCACTTCTTGTCCACTTTTTCTGGGTCAAATTGAAATTTGGAATGTTGGCTTTTGTGGAGGGAGAAAAACCCTTGGAGTGAGGATGAGAACCAACAACAAACTCAATCAACGTGCATGTGCTGCCAGGTTCTGGAATCAAACCCGGGCCACAGAGGTGGGAGGCAAGTTAGTCAGAGTAAACTTTTGCAGTTTTTAGTAATTAACTGCCTTTTCATAGAAAGGTGGAACTTCTCATTTCATTGTTAAACTAAGAAACTAAGGTTAATTATCCCTGTCCACTTAACTTGCCCATCATTGTGTTGATAGGATTTTCAGCATCATCTATTGCATGATTATTTTTTCCTTTCTAAACCACACATGCAATGCAGATAGTGATTAGAACAACTAGTGAAACAGTGGGAACAGCAATTAGCACAGCCTGATTACTTGAACTAACTGCTCCTAAAAATATCAAAAGACAATGATGAGAAAAAAAGTTAGAAGACCTTCTGGGATAAAAATGACACTCAAGTAATCACTTATTAAATAACCCTTTAACTCCCAAGATCTGATTGTTAATTCTCCCCTCTAGCTGCTACACATTTCCTTCTAAATTAGTTCAGAGAATTTGGTGTTAGATCAAGAAAAACAACTTCTATATGATAAGTGTAAGTATTCTCCTTACCTGTTTGCTAGATATTGTATGGATATTGTAAGGAGAGGTTACCTCTCAATCACTTTTGGGAGTTAAAGGGTTAATCGTTACTTTAATTTTCAACAACAATATTTTTTATTTTTGACCTAAAAAAAAAAGAAAGCAAGTTAACATTAGAAAGTTTTTTCAGTCTGTAAATTTCTTCAGTACTTTATCCCCAAGTAGATGTAGGTAAATGTTGAATTATTGCTAGCAGATTTTTGCTAACAGACTTTAAATTGTTTTACTTTTTGTACCCACAAGGAGGTGAAATCAACTTTAAGGTGTACCTTTAGCCATATGGTTGTCCTTCTGATGACGTGTTGGCCCAATATGGACTGATCCTGAACTAACATTACCTGGAAAACCAGCTGTAAAGAGGAATTAAGAGAAAACAGTATGTCACTTCCAGATAGCTAGCACACAATGCATATCATTTTTATATCCATTGCCATGGTTGATATATTTAACAAAGCTCAGTCGAACAAATTGTTCACGTATACTCATTGATTGATCATCTCTCAAGTCCAGAAACCCATTTAAGTTTAACAAGTGTGATGAGCCAGTCATGCATGTTCATTCAAGAAACAGAAAGTTACATAAAAAAGTATCATTGGTGTTTATTTTTGTTGCAATTGTTGTTTTGTTTAATTTGCTTTTAGTGAATTTTTGTTGCATTTTTGTTGTTACTTTCTTTTATCCAATTTTATGAGATAAGATTTTTAGGTTGGGTCATGGGAGCAGCTCAGAGTGAAAAAAGTCCTATAGAATTACAACAATGTATCCTCTGATGGCACCCTTAAATGTTGGCCCATTGTTTACCCCAAGTTACTTCCAAAAAAGACACAGTTACAATGAAAATAAATTACATACTTGATTCTTTTGTATAATAGTTTCAACTTTGTATTAATGGTTGTTAAATGTTCACCCACGATTATACAGCACATCACTAAAAACAACAGGTGACTCTAACAAACTGCAGAGAGCCACCTTAAGGGAATAGTTAATTTCATCATAACATTGACTCTACACACAGCCCCACACCCACAACCCTACGGAGTATTATTGAAAGCTAACATGTGTGGAGCCAAATGGGTTGGCATAAGCCTGACAAAAAACACCATCTAGCCCAGCACTCTTTAGCTCTGTTTTAAATTTAAGTTATCAAAATAAAGTAGAAATAAGACAAAGCAACTAAAATTTTTTCATGGATAGCTGGTATCTTCTTAAACTGAAGAAATAAAGGAAAAGTTTAATTGATGGCAGAATCTTTGTTTGTTATTGTTGACTGTATCCTTTTAGAGTAATCTATAATCCTGTCCTGTTTAGGTTTAAATTAAACAAGGTTTCAGAAAAATTAGTCATACATAAAAATACTTATTATTGACTCAGTTCAGACAGGCAAAACAAGAAAATATGGGTTTCCTGTCTGGTCTCCAACTGAGTTAATTAGTTACTTTTTTATAGTTACTTTAATTTTCAACAACTTACAATATTTTTGATCTAAAAAAAGAAAGAAGAAGGCAAGTTAATATTAGAATGTTAGTCATCTTTCAGTTTATTAATTTCTTAAGTACTTCATCCCCAAGTACTGGTAGATGTGAGTAAATTTTGAATTACTGCTGGCAGATTTTTGCAAACTGACTTTAGATGGTTTTACTTTTTGTATCTACTTGGAGGTGAAATCAACTTTAAGGTGTACCTTTAGCCGTATGATTGTCCTTCTGATGACTTGTTGGCCCAAAATGGACTGATCCTGAGCTAACGTTACCTGGAAAACCAGCTGTAAAAAGGAAATAAGAGAAAACAATTTGTCACTTCCAGATAGCTAGCACACAATGCATATCATTTTCATAAACAAGGTTTCAAAACGATTGGTCATAAATCAAAATACTTATTATTGACTCAGTTCAGTCACGCAAAACAAGGAAATATGGGTTTCCTGCCTGGCCCCCAACTGATGCAACAGGCCCTACATAAAATATAACAAGCCAGTCATAATGAATGCCCAACTATTTCAGACATTGAGACCTTTCATGGTTAGATAATGCTTTAATTTTCTCACTCTTAGGAGTGACCAAAAATTAATTTGTTTTCCTCTTAAGGCAATAACTCTTGTAAGTAGACAATTCTACAAACAGAAACTTTTTCCAATTCCCAGGGTGTATATGGGATTATAGGTAGATTGAAGGTGCTACAATAATAAAAATCATGCATGATCACCCAAAATTTGATGTGTAGGAAAAGCATCCTTCAGTTAGTATGCTAACTGCCAATGATTCCTAGAGAAAATTCCACTTATGGACCATTATCAAGAACTGTTCAGTAGCTCAATCCATTTAATATAATGTTAATTTAATGAATTGACATTAATGACTCTTATGATAAACAAATAGCTCTTGCACTCCACCTACAGGTAATAATAAGTACAATTTTCGATAAATTTGTTGACGTTTTGAGGCAAAATAGTTCTAGCCCAATGAAATAAAACGCCCCTATAACATGCAATACACCAATTTGATCTTCTTCTTGATATACAGTGCAACAACGAACCAATTAACACTCTCTTCTGCCATATTATATCTGAATCATTTATTACATCAGAGGCACGAGGGTTAAACTGCAAAATCACCTGCCACTTACTTACAGGTCATTGATTAAGAATAGCGTCTATTGTGTCAAAGCCTCGATCTTCACAGCCTCCCGAAACATGTACATGAGCTCGAGGTGGACCAAAGTGGCAGGGTACTCGACAGTTACTCCGTTTACAGCAGCATTCATGCTTGTTTTGCCAATCGTAAATATGAAGCTTGCCAAAACCATTAGTCCATTTGACCGTTGCATACTTGGTTGCCAAGCCTTTGACCTTGTTCTGATACAAACGTTGCTGCCTTTCGAAAGTAGATTATTTTTTTTATCATGCTAATAAGATACTGGTCTCTATCACAAAATGGTCACTTTCAGCCTCTCTCCAAATTGAAGGCTTGGCAACAAAGTACACAAATATAAATTGGGCTATTAATCCCAGAATTGGAAGAGGTATCTATGCTCTAATATCACCTTGAGTAAAAATAGCGGGCAGTCAACTTAAATTAAGCAACTAAAGAGGGTACTTACTCTGTGTCTCGGTGTAATTCAGAGAATAATGTTGATCGTGTCGGTATTCTGTACTCTTTTTGTCGTGAGAAGTCACGACAACAACAAGTTTATGTACAACGACGGAATTTCCACCAAGTGTCGTGTTTGAGAGGCGGAGATTGAATACTGTATAAACTCGCACCTGGCCGGTTGGGATATAAGTAACGTTGACCTCACTTTTCATTGAGATATCAGCCTCCTTCAATTTGAAGTCCCGAACCATTTTCGGGTTCACTCTAGCCACAAACACTCCAGCAGAATTAGGACGAAGTGAAACGAGACTACCGCCATTTTTTTCTGCGAAAACAAATAGCTGCACCTCGTCTACCGAAACAGTGACATTCGAGAGTAGCATAACGCTCTTAACTGTTAAGTTGTGCTGATGTTTCGTCACTTGGATGGTTTCAGGTGGAAAGGTGTAACTACCATCGTCGTTCCTCACACCTTGCCCTGCAATCCGAAAGCATAAATATCTCCTTTAATGTCAGCTTGATTTTTAATGTACAAGATCAAGCCATTCGGGATATCACTACGGAATATACTGACTAATTATACCAGTACAGAGATAAAAACAAGATTACTCACCGTCAATTTGCCAAGTATGTAGCAAGACAAAAAACACACACAGTGCATAACCATGAATAGCTCTTCTGAACATGTTAACCTTAACCGTTAAATGATCGTCAAAAATTTGGTTCCTGGATATAGTAAAATACTATGAAGTATGAACACGAACTTAATTCTTAATTTACGAGATCAAGCTAACTGGCATATTACTACGAAAGATTCTGACTGAATGACACCGGTTCATACCGGTGCACATATGCTGACTAAGCATAAACATACTTGTGTGCAATTAAAAGCAAAAGTTTCCTCACCTTCAGTGTGCGAAGGATGTAGCAAGCCATAAATCACAAACAGAGCATAAGCATGTATGAACATTCTGAACATGTTAACCTTGACTGGTTAATGATCGTCAAAAATTTGTTCCCAAAGTATAGCAAAATACTATCTAGTATGAGCACGAGATTCTGTAAAATGTGACTCGTTTCTTGCCCTTACCCCAGTCACACCCCGTTTCCGTCAAGTATCCTGAATTTGGTCACGTTCCCTTGCCTTCTTTGGATAATATCACGTACTCTTTCGAGTAAGCCCCTTCAAGATAAAGAACAGTCTGATTGAATTGCCGCCGAGACAAAAGAATAAAGGAAATTAATTAATTAATTAATTAGATTGATTCCAAAGGGCACAAATTCTTCGCTTGTTTCCCTTTGGGTAAACTCCAGGAGAGCCTGGGCTACCTGTTCAAATAGCACGCGCCTTCTCGCCTTAGTTCGACTGAATTGCCGACGAGACGAAAGAATAAAGGAAATTTATTAATTAGATCGATTCCAAAGGGCACAAATTCTTCGTTTGTTTCCCTTTGGGTCAACTCTTTGGGAGCCTGGGCTATATGTTCAGATACCGCGTGCCTTCTCGCCTTAGTTCGAACACGACTGACTAACGGTACTTTGGTCTTGAAGACAATGATAGCAAGTCGTGGTGTATCTTTCTTCTTGGGTTTCAACGGATAAATAGGCCGGGTTAGGTTCTCTCACAATGCCATGGAAGAAAAAATATGTATTTTGATATGGGAAAGTTCGCCATATTACGAACTGTGGGGTGAATTTATATAGACCGGTGAGCCCCTTCTGCCTCAATGACCATGTTCTGAGTTTTGACAGATCGTAACTGTTGTTGGTCGAAGCCGTAGCCCACGTGTAGCCCTACCCTCCCCCGCAAGGTGAAATGAAAGGGAGGGAACCCTATACTACCTTCTGTTTCCCCTTGCGAGGGAGGATACGGCTACACATAAGCTATCGAAGCTGTCGTGTTCATGTATGTGGGGTCATCGGACATGTGAGTTCATCCGTAAACAAAGCAGTAAACTAATAATACTTTTGTCTACATGCTCCATTTTTCGGTATGTAAATCACACACAACCCGCGGTTTCTCTATTCGCTCTGACGAAAGGCTAAAGCTCAAAACGTAAGCTTCAGAAACTGCAGAAATTATGGGGTTACTAATAGCTGAGTAATACATTTTTTCGGACATATGCTAATTTTGAAAGCTCCAATTTCCAAAGGAAATGTATACCGCACTAAAAATTTCACACAGACTGCTTTGCTATGATCTTTTAATTGTTCCATTTGCTGTTTTTTCAAACGTTTGAAAACCACGAACAACTTTTAATGAGGCAAAATTGCTCATAAAAACCCGGATGTACAATATTCAGGTGTCTTACGACAGAAACAGGGCAGACAATGGACCGCATTCATACTGGACTGCGTTCATACTGTCCCAATAACACTCACAATTATAAGGGTTTCCTTGACTGAGATCTCCTCTATCATTCCATTGTTTGGCTACGTAATTTATTGTTCCTTTGTTCATTTCAAAATGGTGCTCGTGCTATTGTTATTTTAAAACTTGAAAATGGCTGCAGCCATGTATTTTATTTTAAATTGAAATTCCCCCAGTCCCAGATTGATTTAGGAGAAACGACCAGACACTGCCGGTAATTGTGAAACTAGCTCTGCATGCTCATAAAATTACCGAAGAAAAAAAAATCCAAAGCACTCATCCGATATATAAATACATTACTCTCACACCCTGACGTGACCACGGTTTTTCCCTAGATCTAAAAATAGGATTGTCCTGTTGACACTTACTGCAGGCACATTGAACATGACCTCATCAGGGAAATGCCGGTTAAACAGACTGCCATCTTCTTTGCAAGGAAGTATTAAATATTCAACTAGTGAGAATTCCTGTTAAGCCTGTTTGATTACAATAATATACTTGATATAATTTCAAAACTTAACCAAACCAATTACGATAAATTTGAACCTAAAATGCCAATAATCTTGATGTACTTCTCAATCAACAACAAATTTCAGTTTAACTTAAAAAAAATGTCAATAAAAAAAATTCAAAGGCATAGTATATGATTGCTTTCTGTCCTCTCAGAGGACACTTCCTTCGAGAAGACGAAATTCTATTTCATTTCAACTTAGTTTTCGTTCTTTTTCTCATTTTCATACTACTCGGTTATATGTTGAGGACTGTCATCTTCATTGTCTGTTTTAGACATTGACTCTACATTTGCATCCTTTTGACAAGTCGTTGCGCTCTCTTCTGTATCTTGAGCGGGTTGACTTTCAGCTTTCTCTTCATTGAGTAGTTTATCTGTAACCACATCGTTCTTTTGTTGATATGTTTTACCTGGATTAGTTTCTCCGCTGCCTTCATCTCGTTGCCAAGACTCGGCCACAAATTGTTCTTCCATGCTTTGTAGTTCTCCCACTCTATCTTGTGGCGTAGAGTCAATATTATTTTGCTGTTTTTCTTGCTGTTTAAGGGTTTCGTCGTTCAGCACAACCTGTGAATCAATTTCTTTCATTGATAAATCACTACAGCCCGCCTGTTTCGTGTTAACCCTGGCCGGAAGATCAACATTTTGAAGTTCTTGCGCATTTTCTCCACTTTGAATCTCTCCTTTAACATCAGTTTCTTTTCCATCTCTTTCCGTACCATCCAATATTTCTTCCTCCACAGAATATCTTGTTTTGCTTTCCTGGACCTCTACCTCTTTACCCTTTCTGTCATTTGAAGCAGTTTCCTCTTTCACCTCCCCCAATCCACTCTTCACAGACTCCTCGACATCGTCCTCTGCACAAGTCTTCGTCTTCCTATTGTCTTCGTTTGGAGATGCTGTTATTGTTGCTGAAGGATCTTCATCAGCCACTGGCGATTCACTAATATCCTGAATTTCATTCACAGCGTTGACGACATTATAATTTGACTGAGATGAATCTTGAACAGCATTTTGTTCCTCTTCGTTGTCGATCCTTGTTGAAACATCTGTATTACCAGATACAGCTTCCAAACTTGACGCCTTGTTATCATCAACGTCGATGGACGCACTTTTCGATTTAGAAACTTCTTGTGGTTGATATTTTTCCTCAGTTCTTTCACTCAATTCAAGGCGATCTCCATCACCCACAGAATCTTCACAAGTGTTCGCAGTATCTTTAGCAGCGCTCTGTGCCTCGCAATTATCATTCACATCTGGTAAGGCCGCATCTTGACTTCCATCTTGTGCTCTAAAACTTTGACTTTCGCGTATCCTGTCTTCAACCTCTCTCGGCTCAAGCCCTGGATAACTTTTTGTGTCCTTGCTATCGTCATCAGAGCTGTCCTCGTCAGAGATTTCTCCCAAAAAACTGACTCCATCAGGTTTCCGATGACCATCGGCATCAAGTAACGTCATCGACGGCGCAACATTGACGTCACCAATGTCGGAGGTCGAGGCGATCTTTTTTTTCTTGAATTCAATCGCAGTTTTCTCTGCAAAGAGATCACAAAATGTTATCGGATGATCGAACACTGAATTCAGATATGCAATTGGAAACCAGTTGTGAGGTCAAACGAATTGCAATGGTGGGTGAAGTTTATTGAGAATTTTACCCTTATAAAAGTAAACAATATTAAACGAGAAATAACATGGTAGTGTCTGTTAATGGCCTCTGTTCCGCTCTTTCGTTAAGTCTGCTTTTATTTGAGTTTTCTCTCAAAGAACAGAGCCTTTCAATTAAGAGGGGAACAAGGGAAATGGCCCGAGAAGTCAAAGATAACTCAAAGTAAACACAAGGAAAACTGCCTACAGCGCGGGAAAATGCGAGTAACAAAATCATAGTTGGTTGTAGTTTTCCATCTGATTGACTGAGAGCGTAGCACAATTTTCATAAGCCAATAAAAGAGCGAAATAACCAAACTGAATGCATTTCAGGATAACTTTCGACACTCCCCCCAATGAATTTCTGTGTAGTTTGAGAACGAAAGGAGCCAGGCGAAGACCGGAATTGAGGTATGGTATAGGACGAGAGGGTAGTTCGTACTCAAATCTCTTTCAAAGAAATCACCTTCGTCAAGGACTACATCAGGGAACCGTTGGACAGATTCCTTCTCTACTAAGAACCATTCAGGTTTTTTTTTGAAGGTGAGCGCTAAACTATGCACCACGATAACTTTTCATGTAAAAGACATGGAAATTTGTCACGATTTCCTTCACCCTTCAAGCAAAACCAACCCTTTAAACCAAAAGGTCACGAGAACGAGATCAATGGTTAGCTAAGTTCTCAACAAAATATCGTAACCATAATTAAGAAAAGACAGAAACTCCCTTCGGCTATGCGACAGATATAACAAATCTGGACGAAGAGATAGAGCTTACCTAGCTGGATAAACTGGTTTGCGTAAAACAGAATGGCTCGGTAACAGAATTGATACTGCTCCTAAAATAGAAACCACGACATAACATTGGTAAAAATGCGATGAGACAACTCCTAACCAAAAATTAAAACATACAAACCAAAATACCGTTTATTTACAATTGATCACGATACCTTTTTCTGAACAGTGAGCTTGCGATGTTTCCTGAAGTTTCTGACAAGTTTAGGAATATTCACTGAAAAGTAAAATGCAATCGTGTTATTAACAAAGTAGCAGGAAAGGAAATGCAACGTGATTAATTGTTAAAACACCAGCTATTATCTCTTTTAGGAATGACAACTGAATTTGGCTAAACAGATGTTAACGATGAAACATTCCACTCTCTAATATTTCTGGGGGCACCGCTTTACGGTCAAAACATATTATCGGGTTTGTCAGGAGGTAATCGATATTCCATGCCTTTATTTTTTTAAGTTTTTCCTTCTCCAAATCTCGTTTGGAATTACTAACAGAAGATTGTTCTCAACTTTTAACCCTTAAGAGTGACTAACATCTAATTTCTTTAAACATTACCACCACTGAATAAAACGTTACGGTTGTGAGAATATAGGAAACGATCATGCATTAGAGAAGCTCTTGATTGTTAAACAAATTCTCCTTGTCAGTATCGGAGGAAATGTAAAGAGAACAGAAGGGAGAAGATGCATACTGATGTTAAGGTGTACAAGGGTTAACATAAGACGATGAACACCATGTAAAGACGCGGTTTTTGTAACTGTGGGATGTTACATTCAACCAGGCTTACCAATGAGTCCAGTACCAATCAGTTCACAGATTGCAGTGTAAATAACACAGAACGTTCCTGCTCGGCCCACACCAGCGCTGAAAATAAGACAACACACCTTTTTCACATAACGTAAAGGAGTTTGAGTTGCAGGCTGAACTAATCACTCCTTCGAAAAAGTTTCCCTTGAAATGATGGCATTTTCAAAAATTCCATCACAAAATCCAAAACGGAGTCACCTGTAAAACTCTAGATCAAAATTATGGGTTATTTATTTCCATGCATTCAAATAGTTAAGACTCAATTCCAATTTTTTACTTCATATCTTGGGCAACCAGAAAGTTTTCAAATATCAAACGAAAAATTATTCCAGGACTGGAGGTTTCCTAAAAGATGGCCGACAGAACACAAATATTTAAGTTCTCACAGGCTTCTTGCATAGTAGTTTTGGTTTCCAACACTCAATCGAAATGTGTTTCAAATCATAATTCTCCTGTCTTTCACTGTAACAAAGAGATTGCCCTAATATCCGAAGGGCTCTTCCAGGCACACCACAACCAAGCTCACCTGCAGTGTACCAAAAGCGGCCTCTCAGCGTTAGGGTCATTCTCCTCGTATTGATTACGGACCTCCGACAAAAAGGTCAACAAATCGGATGGTGAATGAGGAACTCCGCTGAAACAAACGAACACAAAGACAATGAGTTTTAAGAGAAGGTTTACAGGCATTTTTCTTAACTCTTTAACTCCTAATACATACTATCGTCTTATTTCTCCATATCATATTATCACTGAATCACACATCAAGGTGATGAGAATGAAGGAAATGATCAACTAAAGAAGCTCTCGATTGTCAAACAAATTCTCCTTTTCGGTACCTTAGGACCGTGCGTCCGATCTTGGGGTATAAAGGATTATTAATGGTAAAAGGACTGAGTGGAGTCTAATTCGATCTGTAATCATACAACTGATTAACAAAAACGGACGACCACGGTGGGCTTTTAACAACGCTGATCCTTTGCTGAATATTATGCAGAACTCTTGTCAAATGTGAATCAAGCATATGGCTAGGTTAATTAACCAGATCTCTGCAGGTCAGCAGGTAAGGCATTCAATCAATAGACCCAAATGTCTGAGGCTCGATTCCTAAAGGGGAACTCGGATCTTTCTCATTGTCACAAGCTTGTAACAAACACGCTACTTCCATCTCACACTCGCCGCTCGAACTCAATATGCAGTATCATATTTCTTACTCTACCCTTAAACAAGGGCCATTATGGAAATTACCAGGACAACGGCAAGTAAAACATCATTATCATTGTTGCCATCATCCACATCGTTATCGCCATCTCATTATCGTTATCGTTACCTTTTTCGTTATCTTAAAACCCTTTAACCCCTCAGAGTGACAGCATCTAATTTCTCCTTACAATATCACCCCCAAATCACACATTAAGGTCATGAGAATAAAGGAAATGGTCACCAACAAGAGAAACTCTGGATTAAGAAACAAACTCTCCTCATCAGCACCTTAGGGAATGTATAGGGAACAGTATTGAGAATATGCATTCTGATGTTAGGGTGGAAAGGGGTTGAAGAAATAGATCCCATGTTGCCTCCGTACGTTTGATCAGTTAGGTCACAGATGGAGTACAAATGTGGCAAGGACGAAAAAGTGACGCGCAAGGCGCAGCCGAGTATGTCACTGATGTTCTTACCATATTAGGACATCTTCTGTGATCTGTAACTGTGCAGACCCACGGCAACATAGAATCGATTTGTTTTAAATGATAATAAAGCAAAATTTTGTTAATGGTGATGTCATCTATGCGTATTTCCCCCAATAAATCATACGTATCATAAGTAAGAACTAATCAAAGTGCGTGTATCATTCAGCTTATCACATAAATTGTTATTTTCATAAGTAGTAAAGGTTGCCGTTATCGTTACTGTGATCGTTAGATCTCTATCGTTATCATTGTCACTGTCGTTATTGTTATGGTTATCAGCGTGTTACTTACTGATCAGGCCAACCAACAAACTGCAAATGCGTCACGACCAGCAGTTCATCGCTCTAAAAAAAAAGGTAAAAATATTAAAATATAAAAACCATACAACATTTTGCTCTACATAGCACAAGAAAATGTCGGGATAACGGTAAATTCGACGACTTTTGGCATTTTTCTTCTGTTCTTTACCACAACGGACTACAACGTGACCTATCTTTACCTGAATTTAACAATAAAAAGGCAAGTGGAAAATATTGTCGTCGTGCAATAATAACTCGCTTGACTATTAACTTTTACCTCAGCATGTTGAACGTGCATAATTCGCTCGATCCAGGCCTGGCAGTGATTTAGGCTCCTCATGTGGACCCTCATTGCTCCATACACCACTGTGTGACCCTCATCTATTGGCCAGTACTGATGGCACTTCAGCTGCAACACAACAGAGCACTTATCAATTATGTCCCTCTATACTGTCACATAATCCTCTTTGAGTATACGTAAACTCTGCCACCTCAACGGCCGAAAGCTTTTTTGATTAATAATCACCACCACAAGTCTCCGGGTTGGCTCGCTAATTTATCGACTGACTAATCAAAACGGATCGATTCTCAGTAATTCATTTCAAAAGAGGGTGTTAATATTGATGCGAAAACAATTCTGTTTTATAGAAGAACTTACCCGGTTTCCTTCCACCTCTTTTGTAAGCATGACAATAACTGTGGATTTCTGTTCCCAGACCATCAGCCAGAAGTCTCCCAAGGTTGCGGCAATGGGGCCCTGGGTCAGAATATAATCTGGAGACAGTGGCGTCACTCTCTGCAGACACAAATACCAAGGTTTTCCATCAGTACGCAAGAAAATAAGAATGCAAGTTTGCGCTTTACAAATATCCCATTCATATATTCTTCAAGCTCTTGAAGCACATATACCTCACAGAAATTATTTTTGTTGGTCGCTAAATTATAATTTACTCATGGTTATAAAACCACAAAAGATGTTGAAAAAGGCAAACCTGTGCTGCAAAGCAATTTAAAATAAGCAGCTTTCAAAGCCAATAAGTAAAGTTAAACGACGCAAATATCGAAACTTTTTGCAAAAACAACTGCAACAACTTCAACTGAGCTACTTTAGCAGAACTGAAATTTTGACACACGTTCTCTAAAATTTTCCTTATTCCCGAAATGGTTGAATTCAAGCAAAAAAAATATTGATCATAAAAGTGGCAAAGAAGAGCTTCACAAAAAAGTTTTTAGTCTCTTTTGCAACCTAGAGAAAACTTCGTAACTCGATTATAATAGTAATAGTAATAATATTGATAATGATAATAACAATAATAATAATAGTGATAATTATGATAATAATAACAATAATACTAATAATAAAAGTAGTATTAATATTTCTTTGGCGTGGAAAAAACAAGAAAGGAACGAGGATGTCTACGGACAATAACTACTGAATTAAAAACAGACTGCATATGAAGAACGCGAAAAAGTTATCCTGGCGCTGACGTAGCCGGTGAGCGCCACTATTGTGTACCTTAATAGCACTAGCATTGATGTAGTCTCCTCCTTCTTTAGTATCCAGTGTCACCCTTGAGTGGTCCCCTGTAAAAATAAGGAAAAAACACGTCTCTTGAATGAAGTAGAGGAGAGGGTCAAAATGATTCCTGCAACTGACACTATTAATCATTTTCAGTCGTTAAGCGAAGAGGTTGTTTAACGATGATTCTGAACACAAGCCAAATGGCCAGCACCATTTAAACCTATTCCGGATTCCGCTACATTAATCGACCGAGAGTGCGCCCATTCACCTCGAAATTATTGGCTACAAGAGATTACCTCTACCCCCCCTCCCCTCCCCCATCTTCAGAACTTTCTCAGGTTTTCTGCTGTTTAGGTTCCCTGGCACCCATTCAAAAACCTGGATGGAGAGAGAAGCAATATGGGAGTGAAGTGTCTTGCCCATGAACACAATTTCATGACCATATACAGGGAATGCGAGATTCAGTGGTGACTTATTCTGATGAGTGCGCTCTAGACTCCCCATGGAAAAGTTTCGGATTTCCACAGCAAAGAGTGAAGACAAAATAACTTCTTAAAAATTATCACACATGGAAACAATTCTGCCCTAAATTGATGTTTTGACAATCAGCTGTTCAGAAACTATCCTCTAGTAACATAGCAACATGACTGAGTCGTTACTACGTCACAGACAATACTTAATGCCATGTAGAACAAGAGTATAGCCCAAAAGACAGAATATCAACAGAGTATTCACTAGATGGTTACATGGTAAGATGTCTCTGTATCTGTTCTTGGATGAATTCAATGTGGCTGCTTGAGTTGAAAACATAGCAGCGTCGGTTTCCTGCATCTTCTCCAGCACCTGAAACCATTAAATGATAATAAAACTTAAAAACGTAGCTTTCTCTTAGCAAGCCAAAGCTATTTCGATTTTATCCCAAACACAGAAAATTCACGCCGATTAACTACAAAACTGATTAGTTATGACGCAAATAATTATGATTTTCAAGAGTAAATTCTTAATCAGCCTAATGGTCGCCAAGCGACCGCTCAGACATAGTCAAATGGTTACCCCCTCCCCTCCCCTTGTCCACAACCACCTGTGCCCCCAGAACGAAGTTTAGAGTTTGTTTTGTTCGCAATATCATTAATTAGACCCCCCTCTCCCCTTCCCCAGAGCCGCAATGATCCTTAGTGATATCAAAAATAGAAAGGAAAAAAAAATAGGAATCAAGAGAAAGAGCGCTCACAGTAAACCTTCACGTTCGTATGTAGTGCAATATCAGTTACATATACAGCTGTTATAAGAAAGGTTGTCGGAAAAAAGCGTAAAAGTGCACGCGACCATCTCAAAAGGTATTGTGGTTGGTTTTCAGATCACGGCTCCTTGTCTCAGGATTTCAGGGAAATCTGAGAAAACATCACCGTAAGGACGAGGCATCGTGGGTTGGATGAATTCTTTTAGTCATGTGACTTATCAACACTAATCGATTACCGGATACCCAGACCACCTTTTGAGATTGTCGCGTGCAATTTTGTCCTTTTTGCTGATAACCTTTCTCGTAACAGCGGTATCACATACGCCTTTTCTTTTGCTTGTTTTTTTTGGTTAACGATACAAGTGTTGTTGATTCCTATTCCATACTAGAATCAAACATAAAGTGGTTTTGACTTTCACTCTCACCAACCTTCCACTCGTGAATGAATCCATTGTAAGGCGCATTTTCCCGTCTCTGTTCCATGTTGACCACAAGAGCTTCAAACGTTTCCACTGTGCGGCATAGCTTTTGAAGATACTCTTCGTCGCTCAGACACTCGTTGTTCTCGTCCTGCCCAATGCTGGCGCCGGATTGTTGTGTCTGGTAATAATGGCCACACTGCCGGTGCAAAGATGGCTTGCTTGGGTCAACAGCTGGCTTTGAATCACGCTGCTTGACAGGCAGTTGACACGTTTCAGGCAGTTTGCCTGGTTCGTATAAGTATTGCTGCTTTGGAGGAAGAGATGACAAAGAATTTTTTTGAAGATCTTTAATCTTCTGAATCTGTTCTTCGACTTCTCGTAGTCTTTCTTTCTCTTTGTCTCTCTCAGAAGAGGTTTCTGTTTCCTGACAGTTTCCCTCTGATTTCTTCTCCTTTAAAGACGTCGAATCAGTCGAAGCCTCATCTTCCGATTTCTGTTCGGATCTATCGGGAGACGCCCCCTTGGTGTTATTTAGTATTCCATGACCTGCGCTTTCTGTTGCTGTGTCCTGTTCAGTAACTGTAGGAGAGTTAACGGAACTCACTTCTTCCCCATTTCTAACGGAGTCACGATCATTACTTGACTTTTTCATTAAGGGTTCTTGTATATCAGAGTCTATATTACCAGTCGGCTTCGAACCCACCACCTCCCCCTCCTCGTGTTTACCTTTCTCAGAAATTTCACTTATCTGCTTCTTGGCCAAATCATTAAATATTTGATCCATATCAAGTTTGCTATTAACCTGATGTGAGAGGCCACTGCTCCACGACGAACTAAAACCGGTAGAGTTTTGAGGCGATGGAGAATGGAGGTCTTTTTCTGTCACCTCTTTGCTCTGTTTGCAAGGCGATACACCCTCAAGGTCTTCCTGTACATGTTCTTTATCGTGGTCATCATCATGGATTTCATGATCCTCTCTGTCCTTCAGCTTTTTCTCCATCTCAGTCAACTTTGATTGCTGCTGAAGTATCTGTTGAAACAGCTGTGCAATATGACCTTGATCTGAGTCATGCTGCTGCTGTTGCTGCTGATGCCGCAGCAACTCTTGTTGTTGTAAGATAAGCTGTTGCTGCTGAAGTAGCATCTGTGTCTGGAGCTGTTGCATCTGCTGCTGTTGACTTAACTGCGCTTGAGCTACAGAAACAGAGTAGCTGTTAGCATATGCAGATGACGGCGTACTTGTTGGGCTCGGCCTCACCCCTTGAACCAGAGGAGATGAAGGAGCCGATCCCTGACTGAAACTGTATGGTTGGCTACCTTCCGATCCAGGTAGAACAGGCTTACCAGGACTTCCACTATAAGGTGGGTAGGAAGAAGATGACGAGGATCCTCCGATGTTCTGTTGAGGATATTGTTTCCCATAATCGGACGAAGTCTGTCTAACCACACCTGGCGGATAAACTGCTTGTTCCTTACGAAGGTGCTCCTGTGGTGCTGGCTGGGGAACAGGAGAGGGTGGCCATCCTTGTGACGGATAGTTTGACTGTAGTTGCTGCACACCCTGTCCTCGCATTCCTCCAAATCCTTGTTGCTGCTCTTTTGAGTCTTGACGTGACAATGGCTGCCTATTAAATGGCGCCCCAGTTGATGGCAAAGGCTGTGAAGTTTGAGGATAAGCCCAGTTTGACGAAGATGCAGAGGGATTATGTGGCAGCAAACTAGCTCCAGGAGGCTGCATAACAGTGTGTTGGGATGGAAAGCCATCTCTAGGTTGTTGATGTGAGGGTTGACCAACCTGTGCACCCTTTTTGTCTATCTGGTAGGGATTATCACGTTGAGAGGACTTGCCACCACCTGGCTGCCCGGCCTGTTGAGCAGGACTGTATCCTGTATATTTCTGAGATAAACCTGGCATGGATGGCTGTGAAGGTGTATTAGAGATTGGCTGCTGCCGAGATACCCCCGATATCTGGCCAATTTGTGATGGAACTTGAGGAATAACTTCTGGCTTCGCAACGTTCTGTGGCTGAGGTGTCTTCTGGGGAAACTGTTGACCCTGCACTGGTTGTTGAGATTGCTGTTGTAGCGGTAAAGGTTGCGAGTATTGGGATTGTTTCTGAGGTGGTAAGGGTTGCTGGTAACCCTGAGGAGGCTGAATTGGTGAATGAAATTGTTGCTGCTTCGACAACTGCGGGGAATCTAGCTGACGAGTTGGCTGGAACTGCTGTGGATGTTGAGCTAATTCTCTTGGCTGTGGATGTGGAAACTGTTGTTGAAACTGCGGTGGTTGTTGAAACTGTTGATTAGAGTGTTGAACTTGATGAGGTGGCTGGGATTGTTGTTGCTGCTGCTGTGATTGCTTCTGAAACTGTGAAAGATTTTGAGGGGGCAGCAACGGTTGAGATTGTTGCTGAGGTTGCAAAGGTGGTTGAACCTGTGCCATTTTCTGTGGTTGAAGGGGATCCTTAAGTTGGGGTTGACTTGACGCGGGTAGCTGCTGTTGGGTATGTGGTTGTTGTGGTTGCTGCTGTCTTTGATACAGCGATTGTAGTGGTTGGAACTGTTGTAGAGGTGTCAGTTGTTGTTGAGGCTGCAAAGGTTGCTGAAGCACCTGCGGCTGCTGAGAGCCTGGGGGCTGTTGAGGCTGTCTTGGTTGTTGCTGATGCTGTGGTCGTTGAGGCTGCAAAGAAAGCGGAGCCTGCTGAGGATGCAAAGGCGGTGGAGGACGGAGAGGTTGTTGGGATAATCTGGGAAACTGAAATGGCTGACTTATCCAGCTTCGTGGAGGCTGCGGACTTGCACCAGGTAAAACAGGTTGTGAAATTGAACTGGATTGAACTGGTGGCTGATACCTCTGAGGCGCCACTGCCTGACTGGAATGCTGGTGCTGTGATGTTGGTTGGGGTCCTCTGGGAGCCTGAAACTGCTGCTGGGAAGTAAATGTTTGTAGTGGAAACCTATCTCTTTGCTGCTGTGCTATTCCAGGGTGTTGCCCTTGTGGCAAGTTTTGATTAGGTTGCATTGGTGGCTGAGGTGTCCTGTCCAACTGTGGAAACCCTTGAATGAGTTTCGCTTGATCATACGATGGCAATCCTTGAGGACCACCAGGAACATGTACCTGCCCAACTGCAAAGGGTGAAAGAGGCTGGTGACCTGTTGGTTTCTGACCGCCAGAGCTTTGACCAGGGGATTGTGGACCAGAAGTGTGTTGGGCAACAGAAGGATATTGATTAGGGGCTTGTTGACTTAGGGGTTTCTGACCAGGAAGTTGGTGACCATGAGGTTGGTGTCCTGGTGGCTGAGGTACTTGGTAGGTTTCTCCAGGATGGCCGGGCGGAAATCCAGGCTGACTCCCTGGCCGAATAGAGGGTCCCACAGGTACAGGATATGACATTCTTGGTGTGGAATGAATCAAGTGCTCAGCTGGTGTTGGCCCCCTAGGGCCTCCCTGTGAAAAGGGAACTGTAGAGTGTGGCTGTACAGCCGTATTAACTGGAGGTATAGAAACTTGCGAAGGAAGTGTTTGAGGAACCCTATGTTCTGGTACAGGTTGTGGAAGGACAGCGGGAGTTTGCACCCTGGGGTCACCTATCGAGAAAGGAGCCCTGCCTGTAAGTCTTGGTGAGCCAGATGGGTTAAACCTCCCATCAGGTGGGTGTGGAGGAGGACCACGAGGAAATGAAGTTGGCGGAAACGCCCCGCCAGGAATCCTTGGATGTAAAAGGATTCCCTCAGGTGTAAGGTTGGGAACTCCAGGTCTCATTCCAGGGTTTGGTATCATTGGTCCTCCCGGGTAATGACTGGCTGAAGGAACAGGTACTGATGATGCTGGAGGATGAACAAGGTGGTCTGGTTTGACTGCTGAAGGGCGAACAGGTGGTGGCTTGGCTCTTTCTGCAAACATGAAACCAGTATGTAACGCGTCAGAAACTTGACAGCTAGTAAACATACTTGCATCACCAATAAGCGGACATGAGAAAACTTAAAGACTTAGGTTGCCCACAGCTAGAGCTGATAAGCCATTAATAAATCACACCCCTTGTTAATACTCGAAATACACAAATGAAACCGTAGTCCCAAAACAAAAATATTTTAAAAAAATCATGTGAAAACAGAAATAAGACTTAAAGCCTAAAAATTAATATGGTAATCACCTTTGGCCTTTTTCTCCTTCTCTTCAATCTTTGCCATTTCCTTTTTTCGATTTTCATAAAATTCTTTGAGATTCTCTTCTAGTTTTAAGACATTCTTCTCCAGTCCCTGGTAGAATCGCAAACCACGGCTTACGGAAAAGAAAAGATACAACATTTCGTATTACATTCAAATTTACGTACCCAAGCTCAGATGCAACCAAATAACAAAATATTACTTTCTGTTACATCCATGAATGAAATATTAAAACCCAAACATCGGCCGAGTTCCATGTCCGAAAAATTTAGGAATGTTGGTAGCTTTAGCCTAGTTTGAAACAAATTGGCTGACAAAAACAACACATGTACTGCCAGCGTACGTTATAAATTAAGGTAAACATAATTTGTGTGCTTTCTAGCATGCCGGAGCTGATACTGGTTTCTGTGCTTAGAAGTGTAAAGAAGGATTTCTATACTACTTTCCCTTGGACGGAACTCCTGGTGTCAGATCAAAATTACCTTTTTTCCCTTTATGAATGGTAAGGTGAATTATTTGGTGCAAGTGTTTTATCAATCATCTATTCATTACTATGACCACTAGCTTTTTTAGTTTTGAACTTGTTTCGTTATGTTAGGAAGTACAACTTTATACTACCTAAGCATTCCCAAATTTCGCAGTTTTTACTAAAACTTTAACTGCTACAATGCAGTTCAAATTAGTAACTAATTCCGTTCGGGAGCTTTTGGTCGTCATTTTGCAGTTTCTAAGCACAGTGCTACGCATTGCGACAAATGTAAGCTTATGTTCTGTTTAATTTACGTTGCAAAGTGTCTTACTGACAAACACAACAAGGTGACCTGCTTCAGGATCAAAGCTGGAGCTTTGGACCTAGAGTTCTATGCACAAGCTACTGAGCCAACACATCTACCATATCATTTATACAGCCAACGGAAGCATAAGTGAAAATGTTTACCTGAGCTTCTCTTTCAGTTCAAAAAATGTATCGTGTGACAAAATAAATGACTGCACCGCATCATCACGCCTGCAAAAAAAGAAGTGTTCTTACTTTGGTCGCAAACAAATTTTGCTTAGAAGACCGGAAAGGTCCTTCAATCGTTAACTGTTTGGAATTGAATTTTAGAAGTGAAATCAACAGCACAAACTTTAATGAAAGAGCTGAACTCGCAAATGGGAATTTATTCATTCTGGCATTTTAGCGAAATATGGTCTCCACCCAGCAAGCTTTTACGCTCCTTTACAAAGGTTTAGTCTCAATGCTTGATGAAATTGTACCTTAGCGCAAACCATACTAATAGGGAGTACTCTACTTGCCAGAGGTTCTCAAATCATGTGGCACTATGTAACTGAGGATAGGAAAGCCATAAGCCACAAGAAAAATTATTACACTGAGGCTTGCGCAAATCTTAGACTACCAAAACCTTCCCCAAAATGAGATAGAAACGGTGTTACCTTTGTGCTGTTTCTTTAACAGCTTGTCTTGTTGGTGCATACTTTGCGTTAGCTTCAGTGAGTGCCCTGAAAGAACACTAAAAGGCATCAAAAGAGGGCAGGTACCTCAGAGTACTTAGAACTCATTCTTTGCAATGACGATGTAAATGAAGATGGTAAATGACAGTGATAGATGATGTTATTCAGTAAATGACACTGGCATATTCAAGCTAGGCCGTTAAACTAGGTCCATGGTGACAAATTTTCTGCATAGTGTTTGGAAAGTTTAACGACCTTGCATACCACGAGTCACCTATATCTCCGTGGTAGAGCATCTGTAGTGCTAATGTGAAGGTCGTAGCTTTGACACCTGTCGGAAGCACTCGAAGTTCCTTTTTCTGAGTATGCCTGTGTCATTTACTGAACCACATCATTCTATCTCCACACACGACGCTTTCAGAATTGTTGGTCCAAACTGTATTTAAGACTCCTGTCCCACGTGGACCTGGCATATTGCCTCACTGACAAGAGTTCTCCGTAGCTCAGTTACTAGAGCATCCGATTGCAAAACCGGAAATATATTGGGTACTAATTCCTACTGTACATAGATCTCTGAAATGTTTCTTCGTGAAGGGCCGATTGTATCATCTAAGAAAATGATTAGACTTTGGTGGCTCACTTTAAAATTTTTGGCTGAGCATCCAAATTGGCTTGTATCAGTGCACACTTGCCATCATGCTTCTTCAGTTGCTCTTCAAAGTAAACCTGAAAGATGTAAACAAGACCATTTTCACAAACATGTATACAAAGTCCTGACTGAGTTTACTATAAAATCACTCGTAAGAATTCAATTACATTGTGCACATATGCTTTTCAGCCAACTTTTGATCAAATGGAAGCAAGTTAGGTTCCCCACGGTTCACTAAAACACAATCATGTCTAGTGATCTCAAATAAAATAGAAAGTAAAGAGAGCAACCAAGACTGAAAACTGACAAAAAAATAGGGTTGAGGCAGGGTTTTCATTTGAGGCCGGAGGCCGGACGTTTCGTCCGGTCGTTTGCCATTCCACGTCCGGTACTTTGAGATCAATATTGGCGATTTTTTTTTACTACTGTAAATGGCGTTTCTGAGTATTCTATTTTAAAAATTTCCTGGGGAAGCATGCCCCCAGACCCCCCTAGGTGCTTGCGCCTTACGGCGCCAAGAAAACATTCACGTCCGGTGCTTTCAGAAGTATGTCCGCTACTTTACAAAACAGTTGAAAACCCTGTTGAGGCGATTTTGGATCATTTTGTTCTTCATTCTTTTATGTAAAAAATAGCTCTCACAGGGCCTCTCCAGTATACGAGTGCTAATTGCTACTGATGAACTGTCGAGCAAACCGAACAAAAAGGCCTTGGGTTACCTAGTTTGATGGGCAACAACCCTAAATGTTAACCATCATATTTGATAACAACCATAATTGAATCAAGTTCTTATCATTAGAAGGCTGTGTTAAAGAAAACCAAGTAATATTGATTAAACATGTGACAAGTACCATCTTGTTTCCATCTTCCCTTGTGACGAGAAGTTGCGTGATGTCGTCATCAGCCAACTATGAGAAACACACTGGCCATTAATACAGTATCGATTGTAATAACTAAAGATATATAAACAATTTCACTTCAATCAAATAGCACATGAACGTATCATTCAAAAAATTACTTGTTATATGCATTTTGGGTTGGTATTATACGTATATACATCGTCCAGAAAGGTAGCAACAACAGCAGAGGTTGAGGAACACAAACACAATGCTTGTATACAGCCGAGCTTATTAACAAGTCCTTGGCCTGTTCCAGGCTTGGCTGATTGTCCAAGGAGTGAGGAACAAACAGCAGTTGTTATTGTCAGGGAACAGTTGACCCCGTAGTCGTTTGTGTACCTGCTCTTTCACTCACTTCCACTGAGCTGGAACAAGCCACAGGCTAACAAGTTCTCTGAAGCTCAGCAGTATAGCATCAGGCTTCAAAATAAAAAGGTCTAAGGAGACTTAGATAATTATTTGTTTATGGCACATTCATGAAACATTTGTAACACTTGTAAACAGAAGTTGTACCTCTTTTCTTAACTCTGCCTCAAGCTGCTTTCTTTGAGACTTCATGTGGTCCACCTTAGACTGGAATCATTTGAAATAAAGAAAATGAAAGGCAACTGTCAGTACATTGAATGAAACATGTTAGGGAAACAAACAGGATCAACCAATGTGACTAATACGCCTCAGTAAAATGCAAGGTAGAAATCCACTTCATAGGTGAGGTTTTACATCATAGTAAAAATGTTACAATTTAGAATAACGTCCAGGTTACCCTGCTAACTTGAAATGCCAGGGAAACAGAGAAGGGTTCGAGATATCAGAGAATACACGTCAAATGAAAGTAAATTACCATATTTACTCAATTAAATGCCACCCTCAACTACATGCCATACCCAATGAGGGGAATGTATAGTTCATTTGGGAACTATGAGAAAATAGTCCACACCATTCTTCGAAGTGATATCGTAAAGTTTCTGTGTCACACAATGTTTGTAAATGATTTAAAATAATTGTTTTCAGTGATTAAGAAAGATGACTTTTAGATTACCACCACCTCCCCACAAAAACATTTGGATAGAAGGCCTCATTTAGTTTGAGTCAGATAGAAATACTGGTAGCTAAGTTTAAATTACAGCCTGGGGTTCAACTGTGTTGTTTTGGTCCTCTGTTCTCCAAAAAGATAGACCCTAAAAAACAACCAACATCTAACACTAGATGTGCAAAAAAGATAACACAACACTCCATTTCAAGTCCAAAAAGAGTAAGACTTACAATAAGATCTCTGAGACGTTGAACTGCTCCATCATCAATTGGAGCTGAAGATAAAAAAACAACAAAAAACTTCATATACTTGTACATCCAGCCTTTTCATCTCAGAGCCATGTTTGTATGACATTGTACATATATCACCAGACAAAAGCAGCCTACAACATGTTTAAAATGCTCCAATAGGACAGGACTACTGGTGCACTTACTGTCTATGATGTTGAGAGATGGTAAAGCTGCTATTAGTCCTTCTGAGGGCCCAGACAGCAAGACTAAGTTATGCTTGTGCTCATTAAAAACTTTCATCAGCTCAGAGTTTGTCTGCATCTGTAGTATAGGACAAAGTTTATTAAAGAGGCAAAATATAACTATTTATATCACAAAAAGCTAACTGATCTTTATATGAGGGTATGTAAACTGAAGTCAGTTCAGGTATGCCCTGTTATGAACCATTAACCTGAGGCATAGAATTGTTAACTTTTGACCCCTTACTGTGACTAGAAATAATAACCCTGAATCAAAGGTCACAAGAATGGAGAAAATGATCGATAGCCTAAGTGGCTCTTGATTGTTAAGCAAATTCTCCTGGTCAGTACCTTCAGGAAATGAATTGAGAACAGTATGGAGAATATGCATACTGACGTTAAGATGTAAAGGGGTTAGGAGATGATGTCTTGTTGTGGTTGTTTTTGGCCAGCTAACGGCACTTGCTAAACTTCTTAGAAGGCATGCACTTGTTTGATCAGGAAAAATTTCAAGAATAGTTTTCAGAGCAGGCATACACTTGTTTGATCAGGAAAAACGTCCAAAATATTTTCAGAGCTAAGCCTCTGGTGGAATAGAAAAGATACATATTTCAAGAGTTCAGCTACAGCTACATACTCTCACTGATCATAGGTAATGCCTAAACCCAGATTAGATAGTACTGATACACATGCATGATATTTATTGAGATGAACTTACTGCCTTCTTGTGTGATTGTTGGCATTGTTCAAGTTCTTTCTCAAAATCCTTCCTCTCTGGCGGGGGGGTCATTGGACCAACAAGCTCCTGTCAAATGTGGAATTGTTTGCAAATTGAAGGTTATAAGTCTTGTTTGAGGGAACTGATTTGTCAGTTTGTTGTAGTCTTATGCTTTTGGTGTAACATTCACATATATATTGTTCATAGCGTTAGGACAATTTTCATCATTTGAGTAGGCAATGTTACTATTTCTAGTTCATTGGTTATCATGTTAAAATTGTGAATGAGTCATTGCTAGGGTGCTGGCTGCTGTTGCCTTCATTGTGAGGTGTCAGCTGTTACAAAGTAAACCAACTTTCCAAATTGAGTCACTGAGAATACTTAAGTCATATTGTGTCAAGTAAAAATTAAACCAACCAGTAATTCCTTTTCTTTTTGCATGTCCTCCTCTAGCATTTTCACAAGCGAAGTTAACAAATCTTCTACTTTGGAACCAATCTTTGTCAGTTCTATAATAAAAACAATTATTCCCACTTAGGATCCATGTAGTTATTGATGGTTGTATGATAAGCTGAATGGTACACCCAGTTTGATTGGTTCTTACTTATGATCTACTGAAAAACAGATGCATAAATGACATCATTATTTGCAATGTTTTGCTTTGTTATCATAAGGTGACTCACAAGTCTGTGCCTCATGTGCCATTTTTTTGTTCTTTCCTCATTTTGATGTCACCTGGGATCTACTACTGAACAGATGCACCACAACATGGAATCTACTTGCTAACTAGATTATTTGTCAGAGTTCGACATGGTTTGGTTATGACCCAATACATCAAACCCAATTACCTCAGAAATAAAGTTGATGCAAATTAAATTTTTTGCTGATTGTTCAAAGAAAATTGTGACCTAAAATGTGAAATTAAAAAGGTAACCATATTCATAAAGGAGTTATGACTTAAATAGGTTATAAATACTCTCAAGTTTTTTTTTTGCAACAGCATAGAACTAAGAGCATGTTTCTTACTCTAATACTTAATCAATTGTTGAAACATATTTGAGCAGACTCTAAGAGATTCAGAAACTTTTTCTGGAAGAGTGTTGCTAAAATTAGTTACAGGTCTGTTGTAATGTTAGGAGTGAAGTAAATTTTTGTACCTTCTATGTTATTTTCCACTTCTTTTAAATTTCCATCTTTCTTCAAAGAGTCACTTTTCTGTTTCACAGCAGCTGTGTAAGAGACAAAATTTGGTTAAACAAGGAAAAAAAATTAAGTTGAACGATGATTAACCAAAATAACCATCAAACGTTTAGCAGACTCCTCTGATCAGCAGTCGATCTCACAAGTGCTGGCTCAGGTGAAATGTTGCAACTAGAATAATACCCAGTCTTTGAGTTCTCAAGCAGCTTTGAAAGTAGCATTTGTTTTCCCCACCAAACCTCCCCTTATCCTGACATCATTCTCTCACAAAGTTAACAAGTGCCTAAAAAATTTGGGCCTATAGCTATGTTATGAAGATTTACCATTCATAGGGGAGGTATTCTTTCTAGCAGGAGACAATGAAAACCCCCTTGGCACACAACTTCCCAATGCACAAAGCAGTAGATTACACTCTACATAGTTATAATCATTCACAGAGAATTAGTTCTCTCGCTAACCTGGCAGTGTGTCATATCCTTCAGGTTCCAGAAGATCATCAATATGAAGGTCAGCCAAAGCTTTACTGAATTGAAAAGAGTATGAAAAACAACAATCAGGATCACTTTTCACATCACAACATCATTGTCACTTTCCACCTTCCATAAATGAACTCTGTAACTTTATTACAAGTTTTCCTCTCTCTGCTCAAACTAGTCCTCGTTTCTTCAAGACTGTATTCATTTATATTCCTATACCTTACCACTGACACCAACTTTGATAGTATGTATCATGGAATAGTGTACATTTACTGAGGGTGTAAATACAAGATGTGATATGAGTATCTTTACCTTAGCAACTGATTTTTCTGGTCAATGGAACTCACATATCGTCTGAGTAATTTCGCTTTCTCCTCACTGCAAGAATCATTACAATTATCACATCTATCAAATTGAATACACCAAAAATACTTACAGTAGATGCAGTGACTATGGCTATTTATTGGTCCTCCTTGTTTTCATGTTTTCAACTCCTTGCATTCAAAAGAGAGAGGGGGAGAGAGAGAGAGAGGGGGAGAGAGAGAGGGGGAGAGAGAGAGAGAGAGGGGGGGAGAGAGAGAGGGGGGGAGAGAGAGAGAGTGGGGGAGAGAGAGAGAGGGGTGAGAGAGAGGGGGAGAGAGAAAGGGGAGGGAAAGAGAAAGGGGCTGCAGCTCTTAACTGGAACTTTTGTTTTATTCCTAATTTAAACAATCTCTTCTTGGCAAAGGGCATTGTGAGAGCCTAATGCCCTGTTTTGCTCCTTGTCATAGCCTCCCCTTGTTGGCCCCCAAGTATTGGCCATACCAAGTGGTTCAACAGTGGTTTTAAAAGGATAAATTTATTATTAACATAATGTAGACTTTGAGTACTTACACTTTCCTACCAAGCCTGTTGAGCAAGATCAGTTTTCTGCCTTAAAATGAGACAAAAAGCTTATTTACAACATTACATGATTTTGACAAAGTTTCTGACCTGTACAATGAGGAGTCTGTGTGTGCCTCAATTGGAATGAGTCTTTGGAAGATGTCTGGACCAGACACACTGGAGTCGCATGGTTGAAATGGAATGGGCTTCACAAGAGGTGCAGCTGTGAATCAAGTCAAGTCATATTTTAGTATTAATCATATTATTAATTAACTATTAAGAAATACTTCTTCCTCAAGAAAAATAATTTTTATACTGTTGAAAGGCATGCCACAATTATACCGTCAGTACTACCAAGCTACTGGTTGCTTTTCTTTTTCCTGCACCATAATGAGTTTAGAAAATGTCAATGTCCATATGCATGTGTAATCATGACAATAAAAACATTCCAGTGAGGGCTATACCCTGAAATTTTGGCCAGACAAACTCAGTCAGTCAAGGATGTCTCATATCACCTGGGATTTCACAACACATTGTTATTTTCACTGCAAAAAAAACCATCCTGGGGACCCATCATGCCTAACCTGTCAAACATTACACATAGCTAAACATCTTAACCTCCTACAGAGCCAAACATAAATTTAAAATCTTATCAGTCAGATAATTGACCATTAACTCCCATGAGTGACCAATATAGAATTTCTCATTACATCATCAATACAATATCAAGTGGACAAGTGATGAGAATAGAGACATATATCAATTAGGGGATTATTAACTGATTCAATACCAAATTCTCTGAATTAGCATAACAAGAACTGTATGGCAGACAGTAAGAAGAGTTACTCATAAGATCTTGGGAGTGAAAGGGTAAACAGGGTATGCATTTTCAGAAGTGCTTGCCTACTTTCATCCTGCCACAAATTTGCAAAAGGAATTGTTGTGCATTCATAGTTCTAAAAAGTAGAGTGGACCAAATAGAATCTTAATCATTCAATAATTTTTAGACAAATTTATGACCTTTTATTTCTGGCAAGGCATCCAGCTCAGGTACAGCTTCATGGTAAATAAAATCATTGTCTTTAACTGCACCCTGGTACCTGGAAATAACAGCAGAGGTTTAAAAATAAAAGTTGAGGTAAGTGGTGTTAAACTCCCAAGAGTTACCAGTATGTAAATAGTTTGTAATCCTCATGGAAATCAAGGAGACTGGTAAATTGTGTGAAAAAAGTAACGTCTGTAATTGAACCAGGTAGCTCACCCTGCCAGAGCTTATCCCAGTTTCCTAGCATAAAATGACTTGGAGTATTACTACTCTCCCCTGGATAGGATGCTAGTTCATTGTAAGGTTACCCCCCTCCCCTCCCCTTAACATTTCATCAGGCTTCCTTGACAATTTGCCAATACCCATTTATACTCCTGGGTGGAGAGAGACAAAACACAGTGACCTAGCCAGGTCTCAAAACCTGGACTTCTCAACTTGGAGTCCACAGCACAATTTACATAATGAAGATAACCCTACTAGGCATGTAACTGCAATACAAAGCAAATTGCAATTGCAGATAACAGGAAGTGTGAGCACAAATGGTTGCTCCTCAAAGGAAATTGCTTTACACTTTATGTTCAACCTCATGTATGGTTACAAGTTAACACAGTTTAGCTTAGTGAGGTTCAACTTTGCATCTTCTAGTAATAAACAGAAAATGTTACTTACTTGTTGCTTACAACATCTACAACAAACTGTAAAACCTCCTGAGTTCGTTCAGGTTGACCCTTAAAAAAAACATGGCATCCAAAAAATCACTAACTGTATTTTCCTTTAACACATGGCATCCTAAACAGGATTCTAGATTTTCATAACACCAAAGGACTTGGGAAACATGTAACACTTAACAACTGCCTACTTTCACACCAAACATATGGTAATATCAACTGCTGCCAAGTTTAATGATCTGCCTGATTCCTACTGCAAAAGTATCATTGAGGTAGTTTATGAGCCAAAAGCATGTCCTACTGAAGATACCCTTGCCTGTTTTGTTGGCATGAAATGAGAGAGTGTATTGGCACTTTCCTTAGAATAGAAAATAAAAAAATAGAAATCCAGCTTCAGGTTTTCCCTCTAAATAGTTTCATGTCCCTTGACAGTTAGGCAGCAAAAATGGCAAAGAATTTAGATGGAACTCATTTCCTGTTTGGACAGTTTGGGTTGGTGACCCCAGTAAAAGTTTTTGCATTGTGATGTGATAGGGTCAATCTCAAGAAAGACAGTCAAATTACCTTGGATGCCTTTTGTGCTTCTGTTATCTTTTGTGATGCTGCTTTCAAATAAGCAACCTAACCCAAAGGTTCATACAACAGTTAATGCTCTGTCATCACATGTCACATTCAAAATTTCCCACATTAAAACTAACTTAAGCAACAAATAAAAACCAGTAAACTCCAATTTGCAATACTCAGAATATACTGTTTCTTTGACTGAAGCATCACTGCAAAGGCCACCTGCCTCAGGGAGGCTGCTGCGGCAAAGTTCAACAGAACCAAATTTCTAACTGTTGTTTCATTCACATTTACTGAAGTAACCTGTGTTTAACTGATTTTGATAGTCCATTAACCCTTTAATTCCCATGGGTGACCAAGGCAGGCTTTCACCTCACAATACCAATACAGTATCAAGTGGACGAGTGGTGAGAATTCAGAACAAAAATCAATAAGGGGATTATCAGTTGATCCAATACCAAATTCTCAGAACTAACATCATGAGAATTGTATGGCTGATAGTAAGGAGAATTACTGATGAGATTATGGGAATGAAAGGGTTCACAACAAAAGTTTGTATGTAATAAGCCAAACTAAGTAATTCAATTGGTTCTTACATATGACTGATTGGAGGACAGATGCATTTATGACATCACCAATAACACTCTTTTGCTTCTTCATTAAATAAAAAAAATAGAATCCATGTTGATGTGGGTCTTTTCAGGACTAGATCACAGAGGATATCAAAATGTGATGAGACCATCAGTGACATACTGGCCTAAACCATGTGCCACTTTCTGTTCTTAACTCTTTACACTCTAACATCAGCATGCATATTCTCCAACTGTTTTCTATACATTTCCTAAGGTGCTAACAAAAAGAATTTGTTTATCAGTCAAGAGAATAATTATTTAGTTGGTGATCATTTCCTTTATTCTCATGACCTTACTGTGTGATGCAGAGGTTATACTGTTGGGAGAAATTAGATGCTGGTCACTATCGGGGGTTAAAGGGTTAACTCATTTTTTATGTCATCTGTGATCTATTACTGAACAGACACATGGCAATATGGAATGTATTTAAAAAATGTTTCTAATTTATTACCAAGTTCATTAACCATAAAATTTATATCACAATAGAATTGTTACCTTCTCGCCAAATTTTTGATTTTCATCTGCATTATTTGACATGTATATCTGCAATAAAATATAGGAAATTTAAAGGAACAGTACTGTCTCCTAAATTGTTAAATATAATTTAATATTTTACAATGTATCATTAATAATAAGAAAATTATTATCAAGTGCTACAAAAGTTTCTCTACTCTACAACAAAAAGGCTTTCAATGCATCTTTTCATAGGCCTGTTGTTACACATACAGTTTTATACTCACATATGACACAGCAAGGTAATGACAGCACTTTATCTTGAGACTCTTGGTCCAAAGCTGTTGGGAGAGATTAATTGTCAGTATGATAACAACAGTGCAGTTCAAACCTCCATCAGTATGTACCTCTCCATAACAATGGAGATCACCACAACACCAGTTGTACAAACTGATGTACTCAATGAGCCATAGTGTGCTTGATTTATAGGTTTGTTAACAACTGATTTGTGGTTCCTCTGTGCTGCTGTAAGAATTTTTTTTTCGAAAATAGTATTAAAAAAAACAAACTGTTGTATTACACCCTTGCATCCACAGCTTTTTAATATGTATAACAGCCACCTTCCTTAACCCTTAAACTTGCAAGATCTGATTGCTAATTCTCCTCTCTAGCTGCAACACATTCCCCGTAAATTAGTTATGAGAATTTAATGCTAGATCAAGATAACAACCTCTACCTGATAAATTTGAGTATTCTTATTAACTGGTTGCTGGATAATGTATGGATATCACAGGGAGAAGTTATGTGTTAATCAGTTATGGGGGTTAATGGGGTTTGCACCTGAGAAGGCCTCTGGGGAAAACTAGAATGTATCATCATCATGCCAGACTCTTAATTTCACCTGCAATTATCTATGGCAAGTATACTGTACATCTACCTTAGCTTTCCGGGATCCAACATAGGATGGACCTTGAGATTCCAAAAACTGTAGGGCTTGATTGTAATAATCATGTACCTGAGAGCACAAGCAGGAATTGAAATCAAACATTTGTTAAGAAAACAACTAACAAATGAAGAGAAATAAACAATCATGTGTTGTGCTTCAAGGAAATCACAAGCCATCAACTAGAGCACACACAACTGTGGGTTAAACTTATTAGTATTATTGATACAGGCATAAACACTACTAACAGTGTATAACAAAGAGGAACATAAAGGGATGTTAATCATCTACTGCTTTCCTCCACTCTTCCAAAAAAATACTTTAAACAGTAGTAACTTGTAATTTTCCTTTTTGATGCCAACTATTTGAAACCTTCCTTGCAGTCTAGCATACAAAATTCACTATTACTCTGATCTGTACTGCACCTATTCTCACCTTTAACTCTCAAGATCTCATTAGTAATTCTCCTTACTGTCTACTATACAGTTCTTGTGATTTTGGTTTGGAGAATTTGGAATTAGATCAACTTATAATCCCTAAATTGATATTTTCGGTATTCTTATCACTTGTCTGCTTGATATTGTATTGATATTGTAAGGAGAAATTCTGTCTTGGTCACTTTATGGGAGTTAAAGGGTTAAACTTGCAAGCATTCCTAGGCTTGCATCACAAGTGACAGCTGGCTTTTCTACAGACTCCAACTGGAATTGATTATTACATATATTTACTACTGACAAAATATCACTGTTCATTACTGATGATAATTATTAGTATCTAGTGAGACAGTACCTGCATACTTATTCTTGCTATCAGTGAGTCCTTGCGGGAATCTAAAATTGACTTCTCTAATAGACACTCCTGTGCTTGTCCCTAAAATGAAAGCATTACCAGCCAGTTAAAAATTAGTAAATGAATTTTATTAGTAACTGCAATAACTATTGCCTAAATCTAACTTCTGTAAATAACAGCTTTATTTCATTCAATTTTTGATCTAATAAATCAATTCATGAATTACTAAATTTATCCATGTGTTATAAAGCTTATAATTAATTGGACAATGGTGTATTGCAAGGCAACTTGTCCTTCTACAGGGTCCAGAGGTGAAATTTTAAACTCTTCAAGACATGATTTCAAACATTCTGAGACATATTTGAGTAACTTGTTTTTAGCCTCACATTGATGTTAGTAATTGAAACCAATATATTTTAATTTAGTATTTCAAAATAACATATTATTCAACAACACATAAAATAACTGGCATTATAGTGATTTGCATGCCTAGGATTTATCATCTTACCAGCATTACATTGATGTACAGCTGAAGCAGATTGCCAGCCATATCAAAAAATGCATCACTGGCAAAGTGATCCTGCAACATAAAAAAATTTTAGAAAATTTTCAAGGTAGACATGTTACCAGCAATCATAAAGAGCCTCAACAAAAAACACACACACAAAGAAAAGTTCAAAAGCAGAAGAAGCAGTTGAGCAGCTTAAACTTACAATAAAATGTTCAGTTCTACAGAAAGAGCCAACCTATAAATTAAACCAAAATAAGTTGGCTTCAAATGCTTTTCATTGTTTTATAAATCTCAGAACAAATCTGACCATCACACTTGGAAGTCAGAGTCTTCCACTTATGCCATATGAATGCATCCCAAATCCTGAGATCCAAGTCCTAAAATTGAGTTGATGTTTGTCCCTTCTAAATGCTTAATGTAAATTTCCTAGTGTGAAAAATTTATTTTGTATCAAGATATCACATTCTAGCTGATACTTTGATTCTTAATTATATGTGTTGACATTGTTAGGAAGACACATTATCATCATTAATCACTTTTTGGGAAGTTCATAGGGTTTCCTTTTTAGAAAAAGAAAAAAAAAGGCTTGATAATTATACTTTTGTCACTAGGTTCACTTTTGACCTTGTTACTCCCAAGATCTAATTGATAATTCTCCCCACTATCTGCTACACATTTCCTTGTAAAATACTTACAGAAATGTGATGTTAGCTCAAGATAACAACTTCTACCTGATATGTTTGAGTTTTCTCATTATTGTTTTGCTCGATAACATACAGATGTTACAGGGAGAAGTTACATGTTAGTCACTTCTACCAGTTAAAGGGTTAAATATCACTGTTTCATTTCAAATAAGTCTACACAACATAACCAGATTAGCTGGTGATATTAGAATCATTAATCAAAAGATATCAAATTGGACTCAGATGGGGCCTTGATAAAGCATGACAACAAGAACAACATGTAAGGTTACCTATATCATATTAACTCTTTAACTCCCATAAATGACCATGACAGAATTTCTCCTTACCAAATCAATACAATATCAAACAGACAAGTGATGAGAATTAAGAAAAATATCAGCTTGGGGATTATTACTTGATTCAGTGCCAAATTCTCAGAGCTAACATTATAAGAATTGTATGGCAGACAGTAAGGAGAACTTCAAATAAGATCTTGGGATTAAAAGGGTTAATGTAGAGGAAGGAATTTAAGTGTAACTATAATTAACCTTAAACTTGGGAATTTACCTTGAGGAACTGAAAAATTCCAGCAGCAGCTTGGAAATGAGTGCATGCTACTTTCATGCCCTGAAAAATAATAAAATTAATACATATCATTAATACTGTGAGTTTGTCAAAATACAGCACAACTCATTAAAAAAAATTGATAATACAACACACCAAAACATCAAATGAGACATATGTTCTTGACGACAATCATTAAACGGAGAATAATACATGGTTGCTTGTAGAAATAGAAAAAGGTGAGTGACACGTCAGCAGCTGATTGGTGATATTAGACACACTCAGAGAATTGTCACAGTTTTGCATGAGTGCTTCAACACCTAAAAACCCTAAGGGTGACTTGCATCTAATTCCTCCTTACAGTAAAACTGCTGAATCATTCATCAAGATCATCAGAATAAAGGAAATGGTCACCATCTTAAGTAGCTTTGATTGTTAAACGAATTCCCCTTGTCAATAACAAAGGAAATGTATGAGAAAAGTATGGATACTGATGTTAGGGTGTAAAGGGTTAACAGCTGTTCCCAAGGTTGCAAATTCTTTGAATACTGCAATTTAAAAAATTAAACCTTTAATTCCCAGAGGTGATTAACATGGAACTTCTCCCTAAAATATCCATAAATTATCCTGCAAACAGAAATAGAAATAGACTAACAATCAGAACTAAACAAACCTCCTCTGCTGTTCTGTCCTCTTGGCATCCTAGCTGAGAGTGTAGAGCAGCTGCAAAGAAAGGATGTCTTCTTTTATGAGAGTACTGTATGTTTAATAGTCTATAGTATGTCATGGAGAATGTAACATAGTAGTTTTACTATCCATAATTGTCTCTCTAGTATATCACATAAACAATAAACTGTTGTAAAATGAATTGTCTAAAACATTAATCGAAACTATCCTGCAAAGATACCAGAGGGGGAATATGATATCAAATCCTATAAACACTGAGAGATTCTGTCACCATTATTGAATGACAACTGTTACTGACAGTAATAACTTGGAAGTTGTTAGGATGTACACTACTAACAATCAGTCTTACCTAAGTTATGAAGAATGGCAGCTTGTTCAAATCTTATATCAGACAATGAGATTGGTTCCTCTGAATAGAGATCAGTCCTTTCAAAACAAATTCATTAAAATAAGAAATTTGAACTTTGTCAGTCATTTAGTAATAATAACAACAACAAAAAATAATCAATGATGATTGTACTAATAATAATACTCATACTAATATTAATAAATATTTATAGAAAACCATTTTCAAAGCATTAGTACTCCACAATAACAGGCGTACCCATTTTGAACGAGATTTTGAAATTGCTGTTCCTTGAGTGTAGTGAAAAACAAATGGAGAGGTTTGAGTTAAGCCTTTGGAGATTTTTTAGAAATATCAGAAATATTTGAACACTGTATACCATAACATGTTCCCTTTGCAAATGGTTCAGCAACAAGGCATATAAACCAACAAATATGGGAATTGAAAAAAAGGCATAATTATATTATAGTTTGAATTTAACCCTTTAAGTTCCACTAGTGACCTAGACAGAATTTCTTGTTACATTATTAGTACAATATCAAGAAGACAAGTAATGAGAATAATGAAAAATATCAACTTTGGGATTATTGGTTGATCCAATTCCAAATTCTCCAAACTAACATCACATAAATTGTATGGCAAACTGTAAGGAGAATTACTCATGAAATCTTGGGAGTTAAAGGGTTAACCATAGGTTTAAAATTATTTTGAATGAGTTTTACAATTACAGTACTATTCAATTGTAAGTAGATAGTTCCTTGAAACTCTTTCCTCAATCCTCGATTCTCAAGGCTCACGTCAAGTATGAAAGAATGTATATGTAATTTATCTGAGTTTCAATTGAGTTAACTTTCTGAACAAAATGTTTACAAATTATACCCCAATACATTTACAAGTAGTTTGAAAGAATTTGAATTTGAATTTTAAACAAGTACATGTACACACCATGTAAACTGCACATTAACTGCTCCTCCTTCACCCAGTGGAAATCTGGATTGTAAAAATTGCAGCTGAGCATAATACCGCCGTAGTGTACTGCACCCTGAGTGATCATGTGATGGCCGAAGAGAGGCCTAGATAAAAATAAAAACAACATGGTCAATCAATGCTGTCTGTAACAATATAACAAGAAATTTCCTGGGGTATCCTACAACCAATATCTTTCTATGTTCTATGTTGATCAACTGTTCTGGGTTGATTTCAGTTTTTCCATATTCTATTGCTAAAACCCTTGTTCAGTTGATTTGATTTATAAGCTCTTTCAATCACCATCAAATTAGTTAAAACAGTTGAAAAAGAATGAGTAGTGACTGCTCTAGTTTTTCCTCGCAACCTATACTAAACACCATTGAAACAGTTGATCCTGACAGACCACAATCTTAAATTTCATCGTATCAAATAGCCGGCAACACCTTTGGGCTATTAAAAGCAAATCCTGTGTTCTGATTGAGTAACTGAGCAGGATTGCCACATTGAGAAAAAAAGTTGCATGCTCTTGAAGCAGACTTAAAAAATGTCCTCATTTTAAGACAATTTCAGCAATGAAGTTACATAAAGCAGAAGACAGTCAAAACAAGGACAACATAAACAACTTTGATAAGCTTGTTGTGCTACAAATGCAGCTAGCTTTTGATACGGGCTCTTGCTTCATTCTTGATTCTTATTAAAAAAGCAAAATCTATTTGATTCAAAATAAATCCATTGTTGATCATGCTTGTTCAGTCAAGATGGCTAAATATTAACCTTGTTCCTTGTTTTGCATTTTCATGGACCTAGACAATACAAATGCAAAGTAACCAATATCCATCTTCATGTATCTTGACCAGACAAGCTCAGTCAATAATGCTTCCATATTATATAATATGCAGAATCCAAAAACGTAATATGTTTAACATCATTTATAAAATGAAAATCTGATGCTTGATAGGATCATTCCAATACAAATACAGCGTGAATTATCTTACTTTAAATCATAAATCGAAGTGACAGATAAAAAAGCAGAGACTTGAGAATTGATACTTGATATTCTGACCAAGGAAGTTGTCCAAAAATTTGTGACGATTTCCAAAGCATACTGCAACTTATATCCTCTCAAGGAAATCTGACCAAATTACAGTGATTGCTCATATACATGTGTGTATTATTATGCTTCTGCGTGTTTGCTATCATAAAAAAAATACATGACTAAAACGAAGACAAGTTTAAAAAAAAGTCTCAATTCGCGTACTTTGTCATGACAATCATTTCCTAGGGAGTTTCAAATTATTCGAGACATATTGACGAGGTCAAAAATTGTTGCCATAATTAGTGCTAAGTAACTTCAACACTCAACGATAACATAGTTACGAATATTATGTCATCTGTGTAATAGTCGTAAATTACGTACTTAAAATAGAGAATTCGAAATATACATGTAATTTTTATAATTGCAAACTTCAACAAGAAAGAACGAAAATTCGGGCTGAATCGATCTATCAACCGAAAAAGCATAGAGAAGTAAAAATGATACTGAAAATAATCATCAGAGCGTTAACGTTTACACAATTTCTGTTTGAAACAAATAACAAGCACGTATTAAGCTAGAAATTCAAAACTGTCACTGAAGCGCAAATTTGACGTAAAAAATACACGTACATATACATTTCTGTAGCTGTATACCTACTTACCTAACAGAGATCAGATGTTGCTAAATAAACTCAGTTAATCACCGAAGCATCACAATAAGTAGGAGGGGGGGTTATAAAAAAAAGCTCACCGTTCGAAGTTGTTCCAACTGAGAGCATTCATTCTTGTACGAGTCCGCATCTTCGTTGTAGTGGTCTCGAATATACTAAAGATAAGCCCGATGTTAGCAGATTTAAACCACAAAAATAGCTTTAAATAAATTAAATACATTTATCTCATGGTACCGTTTTCAATGGTGGGGTAAATTCCGTAGGAAAGCTCTCTTTTAAGTCCACATTTAACATTAAAGACCGTGGACAACCCTCCATCTTGGTGACGTCATTATGCGGAGGAGAGGCTGCAGTAAGAGCAAAACAGTACAGCAAACTCAGTAATAAAACTATGCGCAAAATGGGATGGCGCAGAGGTTATAGAGGTAGGCCTTCAGGAAGACGACGTCATGGATGAATTAAAGCGTCTGAGTGATTTAAAGTACGAGGAGTTTTTTAGAGATTATATGGAGGCCAATCAGCTCTGCATTTTTTCTAGCGAGCTTACCAAACATTGGAGAAGTCGGAAGGAATGGGTCATAAACGGGAGGCCAAATTTTGGCTTTTTCATGAAAGAATTTGGTAATTCAGCTCTTATATTGATGTTAGCTCAACATCTCAGAGAAGTGAACCGGCTTTTGTACCAGATTTTTCTGTTTTTCTAAATCATCAGGACATACTAATCCCACAAGTACTCCTACCCCCCTAATCCCTCTTCTGTGCCTCCCCCTCCCCTCCCCCTTTGCCTGTTCTCAGTGTTTAACATCTAAATTGTTCATACCTTCACTTACCTTAAAAGTCTAAAAAAATAACATTGCTCTGTTTTGCAGGCACTTAACTCATCCAGATGGCTAATTACCACTTATTGGTTATGTGTTTTGTACTGTAGGCCATGCTGTAGCACCTGTTGCTAACTGTTGTCAAGAAAAATATGGCAGTCAAGTCAAGGAAGAGATGCCAGTGAAAGAGTTTTGTGACTATTGGAAAAACAGATCTGAAGGTATACTCTGCCATTTTAATTGTTGAATACGAGATGTGACGTTCCCATGAGAGTATACTTTTTGATGCTAGACAAAAAATGTCTCTAAGTGAGGGGGGCATTGAGTTTTTTCATTGCTTATTTTTTAAATCAGCTGTCATGATATGGCTTGAAAATCTTAGAGTTCTGATACCAACCTCTTATTTCGGTATTTAGGAATTAAAACTGAAGAGTAGTGTTTCAGTTATACAAGTTTCTGTATTTTTGAAGAGGACACAATTTGAATCTTAATAACTTTATTGAGTTGGAAGTAAAAGCACATTTTTTTGTGTGTGATTAAATACCTTTGTTTACACTCTTTGCAATTCCAATGGAGTGCATCTGTATTTTTGTTGTAATCAATAGGTGGCGATGACTCCAGTCAAATACTCTATCTTAAAGACTGGCACTTTTGTAAGTAAGTCTATTCACATTTCGCTGTCTGTATCATTAATATTGTAATATTTTGAGTAAAAAAAATTGTCCTTTTAGTTAGTCATTGGAGATCAAGAGTTATTTTCTTTTCAGATTTAAATATTTTTTGTAGGCTTTCACTCACTCTGTGTATAATAAACTCGCAAAAAAAATTAATAACTGGATGTCATGTTGGATGAAATAGCTTATTTTCTTATCAGTTATTGTCAGTTTTGTTGTTGTAAGGGTACAGATCTTAGGAAAAGTCTGAGATGGACTTTGACAAGGGGTAAAAAAAGTCTTTTTCAAGAAATCTTTTGCTGAATGTTCTTTTTATAATGGTTTATATGACAGGGCTTTTCCATCATACAAGGCCTATGAAACACCAGTCTATTTTAAATCTGATTGGTTGAATGAGTTCTGGGACAAGCGTTCTGATGTGTCTGATGACTACCGCTTTGTATACATGGGTCCTAAAGGCAGCTGGTGAGGTGATATACTTGACATTGACTTTTCATTTAGAGATTTTAGCAAGAAAATACCAAAAGCAGACAAACAGTGTTAAGCAAGAAATGACTCAGGCAAATTAAGAAATGGTAAGCAACGGCATGCAACCATTGAGTTATGGATGCATGCAGGAGATTGTGAAGTACAACTTGACTGACTTAAGAGCAATTTAAAAGGAGTTAACAACAAAGAGCATCCATTCAGCATTCTCTTGCAATCAGCCTTTTTTTTTTACACATGCGCATGTGTTGGAATTCCAGTCGCTCCTTATTTGAAGCATTCTTGCATTTACTATGAGTGTGAACTTTCAGTGTTGTTTGGAGTGGCAGCTCATCATCTGGGCAGTTTTCCTCACCCCTTCCCTCCCTGTTTACACTGCTTTATCAGTGTGTTGGGTGCCTGTTGCCCTTTCCAGTATGGGGCTCATAGCTGGGTTGCCAGATTTGCCAGCCATGGGAGCAGTCTCCATTTAGGAGCTAGCTGCCAATAGTGGAAGCTCCTGGAAATCTCATGCACCAAACCTCCACTTAACAATGTAGTTGTTGATGGGTAATTATACGTGCTTATTTTTGTTTTTGTTGATGTTTTCAGGACTCCTTTTCACGCAGATGTCTTCAGGTATGCTTCATCTATGAACAGTTGGCGTTTCACTTGGTCCATGTTGTCATTTTGTTCTTTCATGCAACTCATTCACACATTGCTCATGCCCTTTGACTTCCAGTATGTTAATGCATGATTCGACTTCTGGTATACCGTGCTACTCATTTTCACACATTGCTTACCACCCTCCACTTTCAGTATGTTGACACATGATTCGACTTCCGGTGTGTGTCGATTTGTCAACAACTGTAGACAAATCATAGTGGTTTGGGTGTATTTATGGACATGTATGGAGAAATTAGGTGCTAGTCACTCTTCTGACTCTCTCATGAGTAAAAGAGTTAAATACACAAGGAAGGAATATGTGTCAACTAGTTATTTAAGACTTTAAAAAGTTAATGTTACCGGTAATTATGCTTTGTTTAAAGGTCATACAGTTGGTCTGCCAATATATGTGGATGCAAAAAATGGCTGATTT